CTGAGGCTGGGGGCCCTCGCCTGCTCTCTGGGCCCCCAAACACTGCAGAAGGCACCCGCCCTTCCCTGCCCAAGTGTGGTCGAGACCCCCTGGGAAGGAGCAGCTGCACCTGGTTACCATGTACCTGCGGCACCCGAGGTTCCATGCCTCAGTTTCCCCACCTGTCAAACCGGGCTAAAGATGGGGCTGGTATGAGGATCAACGCTGGGGCTTCTTTGTCTGAAGTCACCGTCACCCCAGCTCCAGTCCCACCATCATTCCCGGTCCCACAGGACGTGGGTCACCCCAGCCTGAGTCTCCGGGGCTCCTCTGGCTTTGGCCTGGGTGGTTCTACAGCCACCAGAGGTTGAGCTCCCACTGCCTGCTGGACTGAGCTGGCCACTTGGAACAGGCGCTGTGGCCGGGGGCTGGGCTGCTGTTTGTCCACGGGCGGCCAGTGGGGGCGGAGGGGGTTGGGCCCCCGGGGGTTCTGGCTGAGCCTCGCAGGCCAGGCGGGGAGCCAGCAGGACCCAAAGGAAGGGGCATCCCCGAGAGGGCGAGGCTGCCTGCTGGAGGGCGGGGGGCACCGCTGGGCCTGGCCCGAGGGCCCGGGCCTGGATTCCGAATTCAGCCGGAGCCTGTGGAGTCGGGCTTGTTTATTCTTGGCAGGAAGGCTGGTGCTGGGGGGCGGAGGTGGGGAGTGAAGCCTTTCAAAAAATAATAATAATAAAAACGCTCATTTAGAAGGCTCCCAAGACGTGCCGAACACCAAAAGGGTCCTGGAAAAAATGCTGAGAAGGTTTAAGTGTAAATGGACCCAAAACATCATAATTAAATTTCCCTTAAATTTACCAGAGTTTGGGGTCAAAGAAAAAATAAAACTTAGGGAAAATACACTTGAGGTTTTAGGCAAATGCCAAGTGCTTAGGAAAATAGATTTCTGAGCTGCTCAGCGGCTACCGGCCTGGCCCCCACCAGCCAGGCCCAGGAGCTGTGGCGGCCTTAACTCCTCCCTGGCCGCCACGGGCTGCCTCCACGCAGCTCTCACTCTCCAGCCCGCGCCCAGCCCGCCTCTGACCCCCACCAGCTGCCTCCTGCCCCTCTGCTCTGCAGAGCAGCACTCAGGGCCAGACTCCCGCCGGGGCCCCGGCAAGCCCAGGCCTTCTTCACCTCCCACCCCCCTGACCCCCAGACGCTCCCGTGTCTGTCCACAGCCCTGGTCTCCCTGGTTCTCCTCCTCTGGAAACAACCACGTTTTCCAGATCTGAAGTCAAGGTATAAGGTCTGAGCGAGCCAAGGCGCAAAAAGAACAGATCGTTTGGATGGGGGCAGTCAGAGCACACCTGAGACTGCCTTTAAACAGCCCAGGACTCATGGTATTGCCCTTTTTGCTCGGCCTGCCAGGAAACTCAGAGCGAAAAGGAAGGACATTCTACAGTAGCTGGCATTAGCCGATGCATTTTGAAATACCTTCTCTTGTCCACGTTCTTTAAAATCACGATCCTGGTAACAGGAGCACATCCACTGTGCTTTCTATTTGAGTCCCCCACTTTTCTGAGAATAAAATTAAAAGGCAGAAATTGCCCACGATCCACAACAGCCACAGCCTCTCTCGGATTTGCTCTTCCTTCTGGGTGGGGAGGGAAGGAGCCCAGCCCAGCTCAGCCGGTCCTCGACAGGCCCTCCTCCTCCAGCCCTGATGGACTGCCCTGGTCCCCGGGGCCCCGTGCCCCCCGGAAGGCAAGGCAGCAGGTGTCAGAGCGTGGGCTGTGCGTTGGCAGATGGTGAGCGCTGGGAGGAGAGGGGGCAGCCCCTGCTGGTCCCAGGAGCCCCCTGGGGGCAGTGGGCTGGGTGGAGGGGCTCCCAGCTTCAGGGAAGGGCAGAGAGAGGCTCCAGCAGCAGTGCCCTCTCTGGGCTGGATGCTCCCTCTGGAGGGGAGCTAGGCGGGGGAGGGGACGCCCCTGCCCTGGGGTCCAGGCCTGGCAGCAGCCTTGACAGGCACCAAGAGATGGAGCCTACGGCCCGGAGGGAGCGCAGGTGGACTCCAGGCCACAGCAAGAAGGTCCGGAGGGCTGAGCACACCTCGCACTGTGTCCCCAGCATCAGCCCAGGCCTGGCAGCGGAAGGTGCAGAGGGGTACACGTGGGAGCAGCTGCACCCAGGCAGGCTGCACCCAGCTTCCCTCCCACGGAGGTGCTTTTGGAGCTCACAGCACAGGCCCCAGCAAGCCGGCCACCGGCTCTGAGTCACCCCAGGCTGGGCTGGGCACGGCTGTCCCCAGCCCCGATTCCTGTCTCCCCCTCGGCCTCCCACAAGCACTTCCACGCAGGAGCCCTGTGGGTGTGGGCCCCGAGAGACGGGTGGGCGTGCGGGAGGGAGTGGGCAGGATGGTGTGAATCCTGAGGGAGCCCTGCACTGTGCTCTAGCCCTTGGCCGGCTATTCCCCACTGTCTTGCATGGCTCACGGGTCTAGTGGCCCAGGGAGGGACTGCTCCATCGGGGTGTCAGGTGACATTGCAGATGGTCTCAGTGGAAATGACCCATCAAGGGGGTGTGACAAAATAGCAGGTACACATGGAAAGCATCACTAAAGTCCATGGCACATGGTGAGGATGGTGCCATGGACAGCAGACCTGGCCCCAACGCCCAGGGACAAGCCTGTGACACAGCATCACGGTCCAGGTGAGCACAGTGACTCAGAAGTGACGGTTGGGAAGAACGACATCATTTTTGTCAGTAACAACAGTAAAGGAGGCAGCTAGGCCTTCGGTGTTGGCCTGGGGCCACGCTCCGGCCCTTTGGAGGCAATTTGGCCAAATCAGCCTAGAGCCACAAAAATGAGCCTGACCTTTGACCTAAATGCCACCAGACAGTGCCATTGGGGAGGGTAAATGAAGGGGCCACTTGAGTTTCTCCACGGCAGCACCAAAGGAACCAGCCAGAACAGGGAGCGTGGAGGGCAGATGGGGGCCCCCAAAGGACCAGTCAATGTCCTGGCCCCCGAAACCTAGCGGGGTGACCTTACTTGGAAAAGAGGTCTTTGCAAGTAAGTTAAGCTCTTGAGATGAGGAGATGGTGCCGGAGTAGCTGGGTGGGCCCACACACAGTGACCTACCCTTATAAACCATGTGAAGCCCAGTGACTGTGGTGGCAGAGGTTGGAGGGACACCTGGAGCCCCTGAGGCGGAAAGAGGCGGGAGGAGCCCCCCCACACACCCCGCAACCCCTGGTCTCCAACCCCCTGCCTCCAGGCTGAGTGTGGAGGGTGCTCTGCAGGAGCCCTGGGACAGGAGTGTGGGTGGGTCTGTGAGTACCCACGGGTCAGCCCAGGCCTGCTGCTGGGAGACCAGGGGCTCACTCTGCCTGGCAGGCCCAAGGGAATGCCCAGGTCCTGCCTGCCAGAGGGACTTACGCACGCAAAGCTGCAGGGGCTCAGGCTCGTGGGGCGGGGCCGGGGGGTGAGGGGGAGAAGGTGCAGGGCTGAAGGGGGGGACAGCACACCTGGAGAACAGCTGGCACAGGCCCTCTGTCCCCCACCCCATGGGCGCTTCTGCCAAGGTCTTAGTGCTGGGGGCAGAGAGCAGAAAGCTGCTCGATGATGAGGAACCGGTCCTCCCTCTCAGGCTGTGGGATACAGCACAACCTTCTTGGGGGGCTGCAGAGGGGCTGTGGGCCCTGTCCTAGGAGGGGACCTCCTGGAGACCATGCAGAGCCCCTTCTGGGCCTCAGAAGGGCCCCATGGAAGGCCAGCCCTCCTCAGGTGCTCATGGGGACCAGCAGCCCACACCCGTGCCACATGCTCAGTAACTAAGAAATGGTTGATGGATTAGAGCAGAGCGTGTCACTGTGGCCCCTGGGACCCTATCTTGGGGGAGAGCCAACACGGGGACAGCCTGGAGCTACACACAGGAGGGGTCTGGACAGCCCCCAGAGTTCAGCAGGCCCCAGCCTGTCTGGGAGACAAGGGCTTGAGTGGAGTAGGCACAGAGGACAGCCTGTCAGGGAGGCATTGGTGGTGGGAGGTGCCTTTCAGGGCCATGAAGTCTGGCCTCAGAGGCTGGGGTCTCCCGCTGGCCCCTCGCAGTACAGACAGCCTCTGGAGCTGTGAGTGGCCTGAACAGCCCAGTGCCAGAGGGGCATTCATGGCGGCTTTCCTGATGAGCAAACCGAGTCCCAGTGCCCACAGCCAGGTGGGCTACAGGTGTTAGGCTGGGGTGCCAAGCCTTGCCCAGCTGACCGAAGCTCTGGCTCCCTCTGGTCACCATCCCAGGTTTGTCTGAAATCGGGAGAAGAGCCCACTTCCTCGCAAAGGTAAACACAGAAGCCACAGTCACATGGACATACTCGGGCTCTGCCACCCGCTCCCCTGGGGTCCTTCCTCAGGGCTCTAAGGTTGGGCGCCAGCCCTTGCTCTCGCTTCTGATGCCTGGAAGCACCCAATCTCCACACCTGTCTCCCGGGGAAGCCGGGGAAGGACCCGCTCTGTGAGGGGGCTCAGGCAGCTCAGCTACATGGGTGCCGCAGTCGCTTAGTAATAAACTTAGCAGGGAGCTCCTGGATATCGAGCTTCCGGGGTGCAGTCCCCTTGCATTTCAGCCCCACGTCCTTACTTACATGTAGCATTCCCCCGCCCCCATGCCGTGCTCCTGCACCCGGGCTTTACCCACTGAGACCACCCTGAGCCCCGGATCCGCGGCTGGGTGAGAAACCGGACTGCGCGCTGCGCAAAGAGAGGCCTATGCTCGGCCTCCCTGTGCGCCCAGCGGCGTGATCCGGGACCTCACCCGCCTAGCCCCCGCTCCCACGCCCTCCGAGACCGCCCGGCGCCCCCGCCCGGCCCCACCCCCCTCTAATCCCCTCCGCCGGCTCTTGAGAGTGGGGCTGTGGGCCCGCCCCCAGACCGCCCCAGGGGAGGGGCGTGCCCTTTCCGCACCGCGCGTCGGTGTGGGCGTGGCCCAGCCAGGCCGGGGCGGGGCGGGGGCGGGGGCGGGGCCGGCGCAGGCCAGCCCCCACTGGCTGCCGCGCTCCCGGCCGCCAGGACTCAGTGCGAGGTGGCGGCGGTAGCGGCTGGGGCAGTTAGTGCTGCGCGGACCTACTCGGCCGGGCGCACAGACGCACCGGCTTGCCGACGGCCGGAGGGGCCGGGCGCGGGCGCTGGACCGTCGGGCAGCTAGCGGAAGCAAGGGCAGCGCGCAGCGATTGGAAGACCAGCGACCGCCAGGTCAGTGCGGGGGGCCAGGGAGGGCGCGGGAGGGGTCCAGGGGAGCGCGCGGCGGGGCCGGAGCGCGCGGCAGGCTCGGATCCCGAGTGGTCCCTGCAGCGGGGCCCGGCCGGGGCGCGAGCTTCCCGCTCTGGAAAGTTTGCCGCCGCCGCCGCCCTGGGAGGGCTCTGCAGCAGCCAGGCAGGGAAGGGGGAGGAGGGAGGGACCGCGGCGGGGAGGAGGCGGCCGGCGCCAGGCGGCCCGGGAGCCCTGGGCGGCGGCGGCGGCGGCGGGCGGGGCGGACGGGGTCGGAGGAGCTGAGGCGCAGGACCGGGCCACAGCCGCTTCCTCCCCTTCGTGCCCGGTCCGCCCGGGTAATGAGCTGTCCTCCTTCTGCAGACTCCCGAGAGGCGCCCTCCTGACGCCGGTGCCAGGGCCGGGCCATGGGGGGCAGCATGCCCGCGAGCACTGCCTGAAGACGCTGTAGCCCCTGCCCCCGCGATGGGCGCCCCGGTTTGGACTGTCGCGCTCTGCGTGGCCATAGTGGTAGTGACCAGTGCCGCCTCGGGGCTCCCGGGCGCAGAGCAGCGCGTCGTGCGGAGAGTGGCAGGTAAGGAAGGGCGGGACGGGGGACATGGGAGGGGCCACAGGCCCCGCGGGCAGAAGCGTCCCGGCTCCGGAACAGGCGCCTGAGTGAGTGTCGGACGCCGAACTGAGAGAGGGCCCGAGGGCCCGCCGTGGGCTGCCACCACGGGGCCTGTGTCCGGGTTCTGTGGCCCTCCCTCCCCGGGGATCTCGGCCAGAGCTGGCACGGCAGTGTGTGGGGCGCCTGGAGCCGCAGGGCCACCACCCAAGTGCGAGGCTGCGGTGGGTGCGGGCCTGGCGGTGGCGTCCGCAGCACCCCCGCCTCCGCGCTGCCTGGGGTGGGGGCGCGGTCCGCCCTAGGCGCCGTCGGGAGGGCGCGGGGGGCTGCGTTTCCAGGATCCCTATTGTTGTTCTGTGGGTTTTGCACTGACGGAAAGTTTCTATTGTTGGTGCCGCTCCCCCAACCCTCTTTGGGCCCCAGTTCATGGCCAGCTTTGGCCAAAGCGAGGGGCCGTGCTTGGAGGAAGGGTAGGAGAGTGCGTCAGGGTCAGCCCGCGGCGGGTCCCTTGCTCCTCCGCTGCTCCCAAGACAAGGCGCTAACTTCTAGTGTCTCCGTCTGCCCACCCCTCTCTCATACCCTGTGGCTGGATGTGTCTGCCCCTGGCGGGTGCACTCGGGGCGCCGCGAGGTGAGAGGGCGGATATCCGAGGGACATGGAGCCGCGGACACCGGTTGGTAGTGAAGGCCCCGCGGGACGTCGAGGGTCTCGAGGAGGGCCGGGCCAGCGGGGTGATGGACGCTGAGGTGTGGGAGCGCGTCTGGGCGCCAGGCCCCGCCCAGCACACGCGCCGCCGCCCTGAAGGCGCTGCGCGCAACCACGACGAGCCCGGCTGGGCGCTCCGAACGCCACCGCCCCGCACGCGTGCCGCCAGGTTCCGGGCGGCGGGGCAGAAACTTGTGGTCCGGGTGGTGGCCACGGGGAGTCCGCCTTTTGGGGACAGCTACTTCCAGGGCACAGGCGAGGGGGCTGCGCGAAACCTGCCCCCTGCCTGGCGGCCGCGTGGAGGGAGGCCTTTGCCCGGTGAGCTCACGCCCCACCCGGGCGCACCCGAACAGCCGCTCCTTTGTACCTCGGCGCGGCCACAGACGCGCATTGATGGCGGGGCCAGGCCGCCTCGCAGGGAGGTGTGAGCGCAGCGGCTGGGGCGCGCCGTGCCAGCGAGGCGGCCGCCGGCCGCGGGCAGGACGCAGGCAGATGGTGGCCCGCCCTCCCCGCGCCCCCCGCGCCCCTTTCTCCGGCGGCTGCTGCAGCCTCCCGGAACAATGTCATTTTTTTATGAATGAAAGTGGGCCCGGCGCTTGAATGTGCGTGTCATTCAGCGGCGTGACAGAGGCCGTCGGGAGGTCAGCGCGCGCTTTTAGCGCCTGCTCCGGCGGCCCCCTCTTCCAGGGGCTCCGAATAAGCGGCCGCGAGGGGAGCCCCGCATTAGCATTCGCATTCAGATAAAGATATTACTCCCTACGGCCAGGGAATGTCAACTAGCCCCGGGGGAGGGGTGGCGGGAAGGCCACAGACCCTCTCCAGGACCCCCTGTGGCGCGCGGGGCTCGTGGCCTCCTGCATCCCTAGTCCTAAGCTGGCAGCAAAGCCTGTGGTGCTCCCGCGGGATGCGGGCTTGGGTCAGAGGACTGCGAGGGCCCCCCAGGGCCGGGGGAAGGGGTCTACTGCCTCCTGCTTCTACCCCAGCGGGCCCCTCCTCGCCCCCGCAGTACAGCTGGTGAAACAGGTAGTAAGTAGATAGGTCAATAAACTTAATCCGGTTCCTTTGAGAGATGGTCGGGTTGGGCAGTAAACACACAAAGGCCTTGTGAAATTTCTAGAGGTGCCGGCTGGCACTTTCTGGGGAACACAAATTATGGAGCCAGAGCTGGGTGGGGTCAAGGACAGCGGAGAAGGTGAGGGGCCGCTGGGCTGCCCTGGCGACCCCAGGCCGCCCGCTTCTCCGCAGGGGGTCGTGTTCTCCAGTGAGGGGGCCCAGGCAGGGTCCCCCACTGGGAAGGCAGGTTGGTGGGAGCAGCAGGAGGCTGCCCCCTGCAGCCTGGCCCCACCCAGCCAGCAGGGGTCTGGGGAGTACTGGGCACCTCCCTGGCTACAGCCTCTCCCACCTCCTCCTCCTGGGGCTGGACTTTGAGCCTGCGGGGCCTCCGGGTGGTTCATTAACCTGGGCTGAGCCCCAGGCTGGACTTGTGGCCCCTGAGCCTCCAGCATGGAGTCCACCCGGGCCTCCTCCCCCCAGGTCTCAGGCCCCACTTGGGACCAGTCGTCCTAAGAATGTCCAGCCTTAGAAAAAGCCTTGTAAAAGTTGGTTTGAGCCAAACTGACGTCACTTGGGGGAAGTGAAACCTCAGTGGATTGCTCCGGAGAATGGCCGTTCTGCAGCTTGTTCTACACTCGAGCATCCGGTGGGGCAGCCTCGGTGGAAACCGAGTGAGGTGGGAGATGCGGCGGATCCGAGGCTGGGAGCACGCCGGCGAATGGGGGTGGGTGTGGGAACCAGGAAACAGCGCCGCTTCCCCCCGCCCCGGGGGGTGCCTTCCAGAAGTCTGGAAAAGAAGATCGCCCTGATAATTCAGAAGCATTCTATCTTATCTTAGATGCACAAAGGGTAAGACAGTCTCAAAGGTCAAGACTGACCTTTGTCCAGGAAGTTCCAGGCCTCGCACGTAACCACCTGCACGTAACCACTGGCCCTGACCCCCGAGGCCCTGACCGGGTTAGTCAGGGAGTTTTACGATCAGCCCACTCTGTGTGGTGACTTTGGTCTCTGGGCCTGGCCTCCCCTGAGCCGGTCAGGCTTCGAATGTGGCCCCTTTTTCTATCCATTTTCCAATTGAACCTAGAGGGGAGAGGGGACTCTAGAGGGGAAAGAGGGGGGGTGGGGCGGCGGTTTGGGGGAGTCCTCCACTGGTCCACATAGGGCTGAGTGATTAACAAGTGAAGTGAGCGGTGAATGGAGCCCCTTCTCTCTGCAAGGGGAGGGGCTCCCTGACCCCAGGCCCTGCTGGGGGGGCTCAAGGCTGGCCCTGCTGGGCCCTCTCCTGGAGCCCCAGTTTCCTCACCTGTCCCAGAAGGCCAGCAATGGAAGGGCTGTTGCGAGGATTAGGCTGGATAATCCTGTAAACCCTCATTAGCCCGCCCACTGTCGGGGCCCCCGCTTTTTTTCTGACTTAGTTATGAAACTTTTCAGGATGTTTCCGGGTGGGGGTCCAGAACCTTTGCCCGAGGCCTCACGGCCCCTTGGAGGTGCCTCCTCCCTGGCCTCCTCTGAAGTGTGTCTCTGGCTCAGGTCCCACGGCCAGGAGGGAGGGCTAGGGACAGCTTCCGCACTCCAGGCCGCACTCTGTCCCTCTGGACCCTGTGGCCATGTGCACCTGGCAGCCCGCTCCGAGTTGGATGGGTGCTTCCTGGTGTTGCCCACAAGAACCACCTACCTGCCCATGGCTGGGTGCCCCGTAGGCCTTGGTGACTTCTGTCTCAGAGCACACGCTGACTGGCTGTGACCGTGCCCGGGGCCTGTTGGCTCAGGGCGATAGACCCAGGGCTGGTGGGGGTGGGGTGGGGGAGGGGTCTCTTGCCCAGCTTCCACGTGCTGCAGGGCTTTAACTGCACGCGGAGGCCTCCCTGGTGCCACAGAGGTGGAAACTGAGGCAGGGGCCAGGGCGTGGCAGGGTCAGGAACTCCGAGACTGGGAGACCAGTTTGCAGGCCCAGCTTGGCCCTCCTGGGGCCCGCCAGCCCTCGGGCTCTGGCAATGGGACGCCCTCGACACATGGCCCCCGATCGTGCTCAGCCCCTTGCGGCAGGAGCGGGTGGGGGGGTTGTGCAGGTGGCAGCAGGCACTAGGGAGCCCACCGGGGCAGACTCCCCCCTGTGACCACCCTCCACCTTGGCACACGGCTGCCACTGTGGCACACAGGACCTTTGTGCCCCACACGTGTGTGGGCCCCAGTGTCTGTGGCAGTAGGGAGCCCCTTTCTCTTGATCAAGAAAGACCCCTTCCTGGGGCCACTGTGGGGGTGTGGCAGAGGCCTGAACGCCCCCAGGTAGAGCAGGACCATGGATCTTGGATGTCGGAGCCCCCCCCCACCTCTGTGCACCGCGGGGCTCCAGGTGAGCCTGTGTATGGGATCTGCTGGAGGGAGACTCCGCCTGGGTGGCTGACCTGGGGTGGGAGTGACTGCCTCGTGCAGAGACACTGTGCTGCGCAGGGTGGTGGGTAGGGCAGGGGTGACCCCTCACCCCCACTCTGGCACGGCTGGCCTGGGGTGCTCCGCGTCCCCTTGGCCTGGTGCTGGACCAGGTTGAAGCAAATACTTGTGCGGACGGTCTGACCTGCCCAGACCAGACCGGAACCAATGGCTGTTGCCCTTGGGCCAGGGCCTGGGGCTGAGGCTGCGGCTCCAGCCTGTTCTTGGCCTTCTGGGGGGCCTCCGTCGGCTCCCGGCACTGGGTGGTCCCCACAGGATGTAGTGGCCAAGACTGGGGGGCTGGAGTTCAGGCCAGGTGCCCTCAGACTGTGGGGTCCCCAGGGACACAGGCTCTGAACGCCTCAGACGCCCTTCTAGTGGGCACTGGGCCCGTGAGGACGTCGGACGTCTGAGGCGGACGGGCAGAACCGGGCCTGCCCGGGGTGCCAGGGACTGGTGTGGCTGGCGGGGCAGCTGGGCCCTCGAATCTAGGCCACGCGTCAGCAGAATGACAAGTAACGGAGCAGCTGACCCAGCTGGGTGGGGAGGGCGGCCCATGCGGCAGGACCACCCAGCCCTGTCCTGGGCCCTCCGCCTGGCCGCCCGCCTGCTGGGTATTGTCTGGCCCCAACAGGGAGGGCTGGGGGTAGTCGGCCTGGCCAGCGCTGTGTCCCTGGGTCTCGGGCCTGGAGGGCCTGCCGGGAGCTGGGCGGCCACTGGTGGCAAGGTGGGCGCCTCTTCAGACGTCTTCCTCCCTGGCCTGTGTTGTGTCGTCATCTGTAAAATGGGGGTCCCAGGCACCTTCACCCCAAATGCAGAATGGATTTTGTGTTTCTAAATGGCTGAAAAAACCTGAAGGAAGATGACTGCTGCACGATGCGCCGAGATCGGTGCCCGTGACCAAGGCTCCCGCTGGGGTGCGGCCTGGCCGGCTCCCGCCCTTCACACAAATGCACGGGGGCTGCCCCATGGCCCCGACACCCTCCCACTGCGGCTGCGCTGGTGCGGCTGTGAGGTGGGGCGCCTTGGCACCTTCCGGAGGTGCTGAGCACCCGGCGTTCTTGGTGGGGAGCCCTTCCCTCACGCTCACCCCGTCTTGCCTGCAGAGGTCCCGGAGCCAGAGCCTGGGCAGCAGGAGCAGCTGGTCTTCGGCAGTGGGGACACCGTGGAGCTGACCTGCCACTCGCCTGCAGGTGGCCCTGCGGGGCCCACTTTTTGGGTCAAGGACGGGACAGGGCTGATGCCCTCGGACCGGGTCCTGGTGGGGCCGCAGCGGCTGCGGGTGCTCAACGCCTCCCACGAGGACACTGGGGCCTACAGCTGCCGGCAGAGGCTCACCCAGCGCATCCTCTGCCACTTCAGCGTTCGGGTGACAGGTGGGCGTCTGCCAGGGGTGCTCGGGGGGGGGCCGGGCTCTCGGACCGCAGGTCTGGGTGGTCTCGGGTGGAGAGCAGGGCACCCCAGGCAGCACCGCCTGAGGGGCGGACTCTCTGGGCCTCCTGGGTGGGGGGCCAGACACGGCCCTTCTCCACGTCCCTTTTCCCTGCGCTGCAGACGCCCCGTCCTCGGGAGATGATGAAGATGAGGAAGAGGAGGCGGAAGACACAGGTGAGACCAGGTTTGGGAGAGGTTTGAAATGCTGAGGGGCGGGTGCCGGCAGGCAGGGAGGGGCCGGTGGGGAGCGAGAAGCCGGGGGGCGGGCGGAGGTGAAGTGCAGAGGGGGGCCTGGGAGAGCCAGGTCCGGGGCCCCTGGGACGCGGCAGGAACAGCTTGAACTCGAGGTTAAGATCCTTCTCCCTTAGTCGCAGGGGGTTCCGAGCCAAACTTCCTGCCTGGCTGCCCCTCTGCCTCTCTCAGCCACACTCTCCTGGGGCCCTTCCTGCCCCGGCTGTCTCGGACTGGGGTCTGCTGTCCGTCTGTCCGTCCGTGTGGGCTCTGGGTGCCTGGGAGGTGCCTCCCTAGTGCCTGTCCACATACCCCCTTCCTGGGCCTCGGCTCCCTCCTCGGAAGGGCAGCAGGCTTGTGGGGAGGGAGCGCACCCCCTTGGGGGGATGCCTGTCCAGCCCCCCACCCCGGTGGGAATGCAGCCCCCACCCTGGCCCTAGAGAAGGAGAAAAACCAGTTGGGCTCTGGCGGTGGGGACAGGGGGTGGCCCCCCTCCCCCTGTCCCTACCTGCTGCCCTGCAGGCCCCGGGGTGCTGCTGAGGGTGGCGCCCGAGAGCCTCCAGGGCTCTAGGTTGTGGGAGTGGCTGGGCCTGCTTGGCCGGCCCTGAGCTTCCCAACCCGGTCTGGCCTGGTCCCTCTGTCCGCTGGGCAGGTGGGCATGCCCCCAGGGGGCGTCTGTGTCCTGCAGGCTCCCAGGCCGGCGTGTGACGCCCTGGGGGTGTGTACACGGAGGGCAGGGGACGGGGGCCAGGCTGAGTGAGAGCGTAGTGGTGTGGAGTCTGCTGGGAGCCTCACCTAGCCCAGGCAGGCCCCTCAAAAGGTCCCCAATCCCCTGCAGAGGAGAAACTGAGGCTGGAAGGGTGGACAGTGGGCTCGGCCACACCCAGCTTATGGCCTCCCTGTGCCTGTTGCCAGCAGGGGCCCCTTACTGGACTCGGCCTGAGCGGATGGAGAAGAAGCTGCTGGCCGTGCCAGCCGCCAACACCGTTCGCTTCCGCTGCCCAGCCGCTGGCAACCCCACCCCATCCATCACCTGGCTGAAGAATGGCAGGGAGTTCCGGGGCGAGCACCGCATCGGGGGCATCAAGGTGGGCCCGGCAGGTGGGCTGGGCGTGGGGCCGGAGGCCTGGCCTGCCGCCCTGACTGCCACGTCTGCCCGCAGCTGCGGCACCAGCAGTGGAGCCTGGTCATGGAGAGCGTGGTGCCCTCTGACCGGGGCAACTACACCTGCGTGGTGCAGAACAGGTTCGGCAGCATCCGGCAGACCTACACCCTGGACGTGCTGGGTGAGGCCCCGGGCCCCCAGGGGGCGGGGGGGGGGGGCTCCCCAGCCGGCAGCCCCTGAGCCTCTGTCCGCCTGTCCCCAGAGCGCTCTCCGCACCGGCCCATCCTGCAGGCGGGGCTGCCGGCCAACCAGACGGCTGTGCTGGGCAGCGACGTGGAGTTTCACTGCAAGGTGTACAGCGACGCACAGCCCCACATCCAGTGGCTGAAGCACGTGGAGGTGAACGGCAGCAAAGTGGGGCCCGACGGCACTCCCTACGTCACCGTGCTCAAGGTGGGTGCTGCCCCCTGCCGGCGGGAGCCGGGACAGGGCGGGCCGGGGGCTTGGACCAGTGCACCAGCCCTGCCTTGCTGGGGAAGTGGGGGGGTGAGTCCCAGCTGGCCCTCCCACACGTTCTCAGGTCTCCCTGTCTGCCCCTGGGGGTTCTCAGCCCTGGAAACAGGCTTGCAGAGTGCCCCTGGGGCGGGCTCGGCTCCCGGCCCCAGCTGGCCTGTGGCCACTGAGACCACCAAGCACCCTCTTGGGTCTGGGAGGCTGGGCCCTGTTCCTGGAGCTGGGAGGGCCTGGCGCGCTGGGCACGGCCCTGTGTTCCGAGAGGCTTGCCACCCAGCCCGCCGCTCTGGGCCTCGGGGCAGGACAGCCTCAGTTCTGCTCCCAGGGCCCCGGGTGGGGGCTGCCTGCATCGGGGCGGTTGCGACACTGGCGGCCCAAAGAGAAACATCTGTTCAGAGACAAGACAGGCCGACGGGGGAGGGGAGCAGAGACTCAGGCTGTGGAGGCCAGACCCGGCCGGGCGAGGCCGGCTGGGCCCACTGGGTGGTGTCTCAGCACTGGGGTCAGCACGTGAGCTGCCCGCTGGGGCACAGCAGGCCCAGCCCCGGCTCTGGGGGCGGGCGGGCGCTCGCCCACCAGCCCTGAGGGGCCTGCCCGGGCTGTGCTGTGGGCTGGGGAGAGTGGATGGGGGCAGACGCGCCGTGAAACAACAGTCTTCTGCGGAGAGGTGCCCACACGCCTCCTCCAGGCAGCCTTCTGGGCTGGTCCAGCCCCATCCATTCCTTGGGGGCCTCCCACACCTGCCTCGGAGCCTCAGGGGCCGGGGCTGCCCTGGTGGGGTCTGGACCTGTGCGCAGCCCCTCCGGGCCGGCCGGGTGGCGGCAGGCGCGCCTGAGCGGGGTCTCTTGTCCCCGCAGTCCTGGATCAGTGAGGCTGTGGAGGCCGACGCGCGCCTGCGCCTGGCCAATGTGTCCGAGCGCGACGGGGGCCGGTACCTCTGTCGGGCCTCCAATTTCATAGGCGTGTCTGAGAAGGCCTTTTGGCTGCGTGTTCACGGGCCCCCAGCAGGTAACAGCTCTGTCCCACACGCCTGCCTGGCACGCCGAGCTCCAGCTCCAACGCCTGGCCCCGCGCCCACCGCACGCCCCGTCCTGCTCGCCGCCCGCTCCCCGCTGCTGGGCTGGCGCCTCTGGCCTCCGCGCGGTGCCTGCCTGGAGCCCTGCTGACCCTGCCTGCGCCCGTGCCGCCCCTCCCCCCAGATGGCCTTCGGCCCTGTGGGGGCCGCACCCCTCTGCCTGTGGACACTGCTTTCTTCCCGCCCCCGTGGCCCCGGCCCGCTGCCTGCTCACTTCCTGTGCATCCCCCGCCCGCCGGCCTGCGTCCCCGTCCAGTGTTCGCGCTAACCCCGCACGCTGCTGGCCACCCGCCTGGTGCTCTCGTGGGACAGAGGACTCGCCGGTGAAGGGACTAGCTTCGGGCTCGGTGTGGACACGCAAGGCAGAGGACCCTTGGCCACCGTGGCGGTGGCATGGTGGCGGCGTTTTCTTTGCAGCCTGGCTGGTCATCGCCTGTGGACTCCGGCTCTGGTGCCCCCGGGGGGGCTGGCGCTCGCCTATCGCGCTCTGTTCTCTCTTTGTAGACGGCGGGCGCTAACACCACCGACAAGGAGCTAGAGGTTCTGTCCTTGCGCAATGTCACCTTTGAGGACGCGGGGGAGTACACCTGTCTGGCGGGCAATTCTATCGGGTTTTCCCATCACTCTGCGTGGCTGGTGGTGCTGCCAGGTACTGGCTCCTGCTGCTGCTTGCTCTGCACCTGTCTTCTGGTTGCTGGCTGGGGACACGCCAACGCCGCCAGGGGCAGGTGGGGGACCCCGAGGTTCACGGCCACCGTGCTCCGTGCCAGGCCTGGGATGGGATGGAAGTCTGTCTGGCCCTGTCCTAGCCCCAAGGGGCCCCTGCTGAGCCCCCACTCCCAGCTGGGACCCCCACAGTCCCCGTGGCGGCTTTGGCGTCTCCCTGGCTTTCGGGTGTGGGTGCTGCTGGTTCCGCTGGGCTCCTCCTTTTGGGTGTTTCTGACCACAGGACCCTGAGCGGGGTGTTGGCCTCAGCGCCCCGACCGGGGCTGAGCACCCTTCCCCCGCCCCCACTGCGCCTGTGGCTCCCGGCGGCCGTGGGCCCGTGGGGGCTCGCCCACGGCTAGGCCAGGCCCCGATGTCCGTGTCTTTGCAGCCGAGGAGGAGCTGGTGGCGGCGGGCGAGGCGGGCAGCGTGTACGCAGGTGTTCTCAGCTACGGCATGGGCTTCGTGCTCTTCATCCTGGTGGTGGCCGCTGTGACGCTGTGCCGCCTGCGCAGCCCCCCCAAGAAGGGCCTGGCGCCCACCGTGCACAAGGTCTCCCGCTTCCCGCTTAAGCGACAGGTAACAGAAAGTAGATACCAGGTTCCGAGCTGCCCGTCCGCCTGCCGTGGCCGCCCAGGCTCCCCCGCGACCCGCTCTCCCGGGCGGGGCCTCGCTCAGGGGCTCTCTGTGATTCGGAGGGCCCGGGACTCCCATCTCTGCAGAGGGTGGGCCGTCCCTGGGGCTGCACCCCACCCCGTCGTGCGGCCCTGGGGCGCCAACCTGCCCTGCCGACCCAAGCAGGTGTCCTTGGAGTCCAACTCGTCCATGAACTCCAACACGCCGCTGGTTCGCATCGCCCGCCTGTCCTCGGGGGAGGGCCCCACGCTGGCCAACGTCTCTGAGCTCGAGCTGCCCGCCGACCCCAAGTGGGAGCTGCCCCGGGCCCGGTCAGTGGGGCGCCAGAGCGTGGCCTGTGTACCGGGGCCCCGGCGAAGGGTGGGGGCCTACACCGGGTGGGGTCCCTGGTGGGGGAGGCCCCCATTCAGTGACCAGATGGGGGAGACTGGGCCTCGACAAGGTGCTCCTGAGGTGGGTGGGGGTGGTGGGCGAGGCCCCACCGCCTCCAAGTGCTCCGTGTGGGGGCGTAGCAGAGGGCCAGAGACCGGAGGGGCAACAACCTTCATCCTCGCGAGCATGGTCTCGGGGGCGAGTGTGGAAGGCTTCCTGGAGGCAGTGGCGCTGGGCCTCCAAGGCTGCTGGGGCGGCGCCGAGGGACAGAAGTGCTTAGCGCCGCCGTCTGCCACCAGGCTGACTCTGGGCAAGCCCCTCGGGGAGGGCTGCTTCGGCCAGGTGGTCATGGCGGAGGCCATCGGCATCGACAAGGACCGGGCCGCCAAGCCTGTCACTGTGGCCGTGAAGATGCTGAAAGGTGAGAGAGGCAGGTGGCAGGGGCCCTGGGCTGGGTAGCTGGGGCTGCGCTGCCTGACGAACCGCCTGTCACCACACAGACGACGCCACTGACAAGGACCTCTCCGACCTGGTGTCTGAGATGGAGATGATGAAGATGATTGGGAAGCACAAGAACATCATCAACCTGCTGGGCGCCTGCACGCAGGGCGGTGGGTGCAGTGGGGTGGCGGGTGCAGGCAGGGCGGGAGGGTGTCGGGGGCAGGGGGCTGCTGGGAGCGGCCCCCTGAGGTGCCTGTGCCCGCAGGGCCCCTGTACGTGCTGGTGGAGTTCGCGGCCAAGGGCAACCTGCGGGAATACCTGCGTGCCCGGCGGCCCCCGGGCACGGACTACTCCTTCGACACCTGCCAGCTGCCCGAGGAGCAGCTCACCTTCAAGGACCTGGTGTCCTGTGCCTACCAGGTGGCGCGGGGCATGGAGTACCTGGCCTCGCAGAAGGTGAGCGGGGTGGGGCGGTGGTCTCTGGAGGGGCCCGGCGGGGACGTGGTTGGCTGGCCGGGTGGCCAGAGCCCTGACCCCCGGCCTGCAGTGCATCCACAGGGACCTGGCGGCCCGCAACGTGCTGGTGACGGAGGACAACGTGATGAAGATCGCAGACTTCGGCCTGGCCCGTGACGTGCACAACCTCGACTACTACAAGAAGACCACCAACGTGAGCAGGCTCGGGGCGGGCCGGGGCGGGGCGTCCGGGCCGAGGGCACCGGCAGCTAACCAGCAGCTGGCGGCTTCCCCCACAGGGCCGGCTGCCTGTGAAGTGGATGGCGCCCGAGGCTTTGTTCGACCGCGTCTACACCCACCAGAGCGATGTGTATGTGGCCCCCAGACCTCAGGTGGGGGGCGGGGCTGCAAGGGGCCCAGGGCCGGTAGGGGGGCGGGTCCGAGGGGCAGGCCTTGGTCCCCAGCTGGAGTCCCCGCGCCTTTCAGTCTTATGCCCTGCTCCTGCCTCGGCCAGCCGAGGAGCTTGCGTCCAGTGGGAGGCTGATGGCACGTGCGCCCTGCAGGTGGTCCTTTGGGGTCCTGCTCTGGGAGATCTTCACCCTGGGGGGCTCGCCGTACCCAGGCATCCCCGTGGAGGAGCTCTTCAAGCTGCTGAAGGAAGGTCACCGCATGGACAAGCCCGCCAACTGCACGCATGACCTGTGAGAGGCCGCTCCCCAGGCGGGACCCAGGGGGCGGGGGCCCCGGCGGGGCTGGGGGGGTGGCCCGGGCAGGCACCTCACGGAGCCCCCCGCAGGTACATGATCATGCGGGAGTGCTGGCACGCCGTGCCCTCGCAGCGGCCCACCTTCAAGCAGCTGGTGGAGGACCTGGACCGCGTCCTCACGGTGACGTCCACCGATGTGCGCGCTGGCCCTGCTCCCGGGGCTGGGGCGGCCGGGGCGGGGGTGCAGGGGCCTGGGGCGCTGACTGCCGCCCGCCTGCCCGCAGGAGTACCTGGACCTGTCCGTGCCCTTCGAGCAGTACTCTCCGGGCGGCCAGGACACCCCCAGCTCCGGCTCCTCGGGGGACGACTCCGTGTTTGCCCATGACCTGCTGCCCCCGGCCCCAGCCAGCAGCGGGGGCCCGCAGACGTGAAGGGCCCTCGCCCACCGGCCGAGCCCCCCGCCAATGTGAGAGTGGGCCCCGGCCCACTGTGCTGCTCTGGGTGTGCCACCGACCACTGGGGCCAGCAGCCCAGGCCTGAGACCTGGCCCGGATGGACGGACGGACGGACAACTTTGCATCTGCGTGTGTGTGCCTGCGTGCGTGTGTGTGAGAGTCTCTAGGCCCCGGTGTGGGGTCCCCGGGGTGCCTGGCCTGCTGTACAATGACCTCCTGGCCACTGTGCCGGCGGCAGCAGCAGGGGACGGAATGTAGAATGTAGGGGGCCCCTCCTGGGGGCCCACCCCAGGCTCCCCGGTCCCGCACTGCCACCTCCAGGGAGCAGCTCCGGGCTCTGGCCTCCTCCAGGTGCCCTGGCTGAGCCTCGGAGAGGGCCCCCCGGGGTGCGCCTCCCCCCCCACCCCCATGGCACCTTGCGCCTGGGGGTGAGCGTTCGCACAGAGCCCCCCCAGGCCCCCTCCCCCCACCCCGTCCCTCAGCGACTGAGATTACGGGTACCAGAAGGCAGGAGCCTTGACCTTCTGTCCGAGAGGTTTATTCCAGAGATGAGTGTACATTTCTCTGATTAGATGCCGTGTGTGGAGGACACACACGCATATAAATGTCTCTGGAAGGAGAGAGGCCCCTCCAGAGCCCCGGGGGGCCTGGGCCCTCCCAGCAACTCGCACACGCAGAGACCACCAGGGTGGGGGCCCGGCCTTTCCCAGCACCAGTTTTGTTTTAAAAATTGTACCTGGACCTGTATATTTGTAAAGCTATTTATGGACCTTTGGGCTCCAGGCCTGCCCCCCCCCCCCCAAAGCTGTAGTAGTCAGCCCGCCACGCAGCTGTGGCTGAAGTCTTAACTTATTATTAACAGCCGAGAAGGTTTCTGCCTCATTCAGGGGGCCGCTCAGGGTGTGCCCGGTGCTGGGCACCCCAGGCTGGAGCAGCCCCTCACCCCGAGAGGGGCCAGCTGTAGTGTGAGGTCACCCCAGCGACGATGCCTGTCCCTCGGCCTCCTTTTGCAGGGGAATTCAGTTTCTATAGGGTTTTTTCTTTAGGAGATTTATTTTTTTGGACTTCAAAGCAAGCTGGTATTTTCATACAGTTGTAATTGCCATGCGCTCCGGGCAGGGAGGCAGCTTCCAGTGGGGACCGGCCCTGCACGCAGGTTCAGATGTTATTAGATGTTACAAGTTTATATATATCTATATATATAATTTATTGAGTTTTTACAAGATGTATTTGCTGTAGATTTAACACTTCTTACGCAATGCTTCTAGACTTTTATGGCCCGGACTGCTGCCTTTCAGAGCGTGGGGGAGAGCGAGCCGTGAATTCAGTTTTGTTACTTTTTGTGCTGTTAACGCCCCTGAGTTCGGGTGGCTGCTCTCTGCTTGTCAGGGGGTGGGCTGGCAGGGGCTTGGGGTGGTCTGTTCTCGGCCCCCAGCCTCCTGGGGGCCAAGGGTGTCGCCCGCAAACTGGCAGGCATGCTTTCCAAAAATAAACAATGATTCCGTTCAGAGCCTGCTCCAAGCTTCCTGGTCCCCAGCCCCTCTGGGACTCCAGGCAGCTTCAGGTCCTCACTGCCCCACCTGGAACAGGCCGCGCCGGCCCTGAGGAGGGGGTGACCAGCTGTCACCGCACCAGCACAGGCCGGGTGGCCCCTGGGATGGGACGGGCCAGACCACCTCCGACCCCCGCCCCCAGGAGTTTCCAGCCTGGGCCCAGGCTCTGATGGCACCAACCCTGACCACAACCAGTGTGAGGGGCTGGTGTGTCCAGCTGAGACCTTGTGCTGCCCAGGCCGAGCCTCAGCGAGTCATTCATCGATGGTCTTAGTTGCCCGGGTTTCAGAGGGTCCCCAACACGGAGTGCCCTGTCCATGGGGAGGTGATGGTACTGAGTGAGGAGGGGCTGTGGGCCTGCCCGGTCCCCATGCAGTCCAGGTGGGCCCTGGGGTCGTGTTTCCAGAACTGGTTCTGAGGCCTCCCTCTCTTTGACCCACCCCTGGCATCTGTGGCAGGGGCAGGGGGCGGGTGCAGTTTTTAGGCGGGGGACCCAAGGAGCCACAAGTAAGCAAACTTTTCACCTAGTGCCCGGATCCAGCCAGACTCCAGACCACCGTCTGCTCTGGTAGCCACACTTCTGCCCCTGGCTGCCTTCCTGCCCCACCTCCCCAGCGGGGCTGGTGCACTACCCTTGGGTTTCACACACTGCCCCACACCTGTGCCTTCAGGTGGGAGAGGACATGGAGCAGGGCACCCATGAGGCAGTGCTGGGGAGTGAGTCAGGAAGGCTTCCTGGAGGAGGCAGCAGTGCCCAGGCCAAGTGGGGAGAGGAAAGATTTGGGGGCAGGTGCCACGCAGATGAGAACGAATCCTGGAGCCCAGGGCTGGCCGGCTGGCCCCTGGACCCCGTTCTGCCTTGTGATCTGGGTGCTTCCTTCTGGCCCTTCCCACCTCTCTCGCTCTCTTGAGGAACTTAGCTGGGCCAAGAGCCGCTGGGTCCGGTGAGCCTGCACTCTGGCTTTTGCTGTGTTCGCTTCACCTATTTTGGTTCCAGGTAACAGGCGTGGCCCAGACCTTGACCCCACTCATGGCATTGTTCTGGCGCCAGGCCCCCAGATGCTCACCCCCAGCTCCCTGGGGACAAGCGGGGGCAGTGCCTGGCCCGCGGGAGCACACCCACTGCGCCTCCTGCCGGCCCAAGCCTGATCCTGGAGGCGGCCTGGCTCGGGCCAGAGGCGCCCTCTAGCGTCAAAGGGGTTGCGTCCTCGCGGTGCCCCGTTCTCCCTGGCCAGGCGGGCTCGGCTTGCTGTGGGCTCGTGACACCTGGGTCTTAGCCACCGGGGCTGTGGTGGTGGCCTCCTGGGACGCTGGGTGGGGTGGAGACCGCGTTGGGGCACTCAGGACGCCAGACGGGCCGGCACGGGCTGCTCGGTTTTCAGGCCTCACCAGGCCCCGCCAGCACAGCTGCGCCTCTGACTCCAGCCCCTTCCTCCACCTGCCGGGGCCCACCCTCCCCCGCTCAGTCCCCGCCTAGTCCCCGCCTAGTCCCCGCCTAGTCCCCGCCTAGTCCCCGCCTAGTCCCCGCCTAGTCCCCGCCTTCTCCTTTCCCCTCACCTCCCCAGGGGGCTCACCTGGTTCGGGGCTGGAGTGGCCTTCGGAATTAGATGGTCACAGCCTGTGACTTCCACCTGCCTACCCCACCAGGCTGGACACTAACCAGCCACCCACGTCCCATTCCCAGGTGGAGTGGATACATTCAGATGCAGCTACCCGGCTGTTCAGGTGGAATCGTCATACGGAAACCCAAACACCTGTCCTCGATGAGTTTTCCCCGAGACACGGACTTCTCGTCCACTCATTCATACTTTCATTATATGTGCCTGGACCAGGGATCAAACCTGCAATTTGGTGTATCAGGATGATGCTCCAACACACTGAGCAACCTGGCCAGGGCTGGATGAGGCCGTTTAAAATCAGAACCCTGCTGGTGGCCACTTGGTGTCCAGGCTGCAGCTGCCCCTGCCCTGCTTCCCTCTGCTGGTGACTATGAGGAGACAGCACGGCCCATGGAAGGCCTGCGTCCCTGGACACACCGGTGGCTCCTGGGGGGGCTGGGGGGTGGGCAGTGCTAGGGCACAGAGCCCGAGGCCCACACCCAGCTCCTACCCGTCTGGGCGGCCACGGGGGCTGCGGGGCAGGCTGCCTGGGGTGGGCAGGGCTTCCCCACACAGAGCTTCCCAAAGACAGGGCCGGGCCGAACCCCTTCGAACTCCGGGCTCCCACAGCGGGAGGCCCGCGATTGTTTCCCCGTCCTGCTCTTTCTGTCATCCGCACTTGCTGTCCTGGCCTTGGCCAGGGCTGTCCCTTCAGGTGGGCTGCTGTGACCCCGGCTGCCCCCCCAGCAGGAGTCAGCCTGCCTAGAGCCCTGCGCCTCCAGGTGGCCTTGAGTCGGGATGTGGCTCAAGTGCAAAAACCGGCCCAGCCTGGGCCTTGTGCCCTGCGGCACCTGCTGGGGCCCAGCTTGGGCTCCCAGGGCCCAGCCCGAGGACAGACCATAGTGAGAGCCTGCTGGAGGCGTCCTGGCGAGGCTGGGCGGGCACCTGGGCATGGCAAGGGCTGAGGCCACAGCTAGGCTCAGGGAGGGTGGCCCTTGGACAGGGCGCTGACTCCTGGCAAGGCTCCAAGTGGCCCACACATCCCCCAAGGAGCCTGGGGCCAGTGCAGGGCGAGGCCTCCAGAGACAGGGCAGACACGCTAGGGTGTGGGGCCTATCCGCTGAGGGGCTGAGGGGAGACCAGCTGTGCCTGTCCTGCCTGCCACTGGGACCCCCGTGGGTGGTGCTCTCCCCAGGCCTCCGTTCTCCTCCTAGGGACAGCGCCCCTGCCAGCAGCCCACGGCTCCTTGGGGAGCAGGCTTCGGGGAGACAAGCCCCACCTCCTCCATGACACTGCCCCACGCCCACAGTGGCGGCTGTGTCCTTGGTCATCATTATCCCCAAGCCCAGGGGCCCTGGGTCTTTCGGAACAGAACTATACTCTGCTGGGTGTACAGTTGGACCCCCAAGTCCAAGGCACCCACTGAGGGTGGAGGACCCGGTCAGGCAGCGACCACCTCACCAGCCAGAAAAACCAACCACTGCGTGGCACGGTCACCAAGACAAAGCTTTATTCACCCCCTCCGTACATCAGACTGGGTGTCCAGGCACCAGCACAGCAGCCCTCTGGGGACACGGAGGGCACACTGTCACAGAGCGGGGATGCCCAGGCCTGCACTCTGGAGGCAGAGGGTCCCGGCACCATCCACACCCTTGGCCATTCACTGGCAGCCCCCGTGTGAGGCTGGAACTGGGCCTGAGCCACAGCGGTCCCCAAGGCAGGTGCCGGGCGGCTGGGGCTCTGTCCACCTGGATCCTGGGCCCTGCTTTGAGCTGTTACAGAAACATTAATTTGACACTTTAATAAACATTTTTTCTGAAGGTGCTTACGCAGGCAGATCTGGGGCCCCAGGGGGACGCGTGGAGGCGGAGCCAGTGCACACAAGCCCAGGGGCCGCATGCTGGCCCCGAGACCCACGCCCTGCCTGCGTTTTGAGGATGTCCCTGCTGGGTCCCCAGAGCAGCTGCAGCAGCCACGGGCCAACGCCCTGAACTCCGCAGAGAAGCGGGCATCTGCGTGCAGACACACGTGCGAGCATTCCCGGCTTGCTCCCCAGCAGGTGTGGACGCTGGCTCCCGTGCACACGGGCGGCCTGCACAGCTGCCCCTTCACGCCCTCGCCCCACGAGGCCTTCCTTCCCGGGCCCACAGGTTTCTACGCTGGCCCGGGCACTGGTCCCAGCTGTGGTGAGCGCGGTGAAGGACGGTGAAAACAAACACAGAAACGAGGGGGGCGCGGATGGCCGCCGGCCTCACAGTTGGAGGCGGCTCCGGCCAGCAGCCCCGGCAGCCCCGGCAGCCCCGGGCCCAAGTTCCTCCGTGGAACTGCAGACAACTCGGGAGGCAGCAGAGGGGACGCACAGGGAGCCTGGCCTGGCCGAGGACAGCCGGACACCGGGCCACAGAAACACAGGAGGCAGGGACACGAGGGTGGCACCCAGAGCAGAAGGCCAGGCTGGCGGGGACGCTGCAGCCGCCGCACAGGGGCCCACACCCAAGACCACAAACCGTCCCCGTGGACCGGTCTCCTCGGGGGCAGCGAAGAGCTCCCAGTAGCTGAGCGAGTCTCCCCGCTCCTCCCTGACCGACTGGGCCACTCTGCTCCCGTGTTCCATGTCGGGGTTCCCCTCGACTGGGGTGCCGGACTCCTCCTCACTGGGGGCCACATCAGCCGCGCCGTTGCCTTCAAAGAGCCGAGCGTAATTTCAAATCCTTTAGGAGCTGAACTGTACATTTATACAGTCCTAACATTGTTTCAGCTCTTTGAAGGCAACCATGAGGCTGATGTGGCCCCCAGTGAACGCGAGTCTGACACCCCTGCCCTGAAAGGACATTCCGGCCTCCGAGGGGCGGGTCGGACAGAGCTGAGGCCACCGGGAACCAGGGCTGCACCCTGAGCCTTTCTGCAAGCCCCAGGGTGCCCCCCACGGGCCAGGAGTGGCCACTAGCCTGCCCCTGGGGAAGGAGCTGGGCCGTGGCAGCGGAACTCGGGGCCACGCAGCCCCTGAGTGACAGGGCTGGACGGTCCAGGCCCCGCAGGACACCGGACGCAGGGGCATCTGCTCCAGGCGACCAAGGGGGCAGCAAGGTGCCAGCAGCCTAAGTAGGAAACGTTCCAAACGCCACCACAGCACAATAATCACTCGAACGGAAACGCTTCGTTTTCAGGGCTTCATTGGTGCCTCGGCCCCACGTTACACCTGGGGCTGTGAGCGAGGCAGGCTGTCGTGGGGGCGCTCTGTGCTTGTTAGTCGGTACAGGGTCAGGTGGAAATACGGGTCGGTGGCGGAGGGGCTGACACAGAGTGGGAAGCCCGACCGAGACATGACGCCACCACTGGAGCGCAACCCTGTGGGGCTGCCGCGCGGGCCGGGCGTGTCCTCAGCAGGCGGGTCTCTGGACACCACGTCTCAGGCGTCCGGGCCCTCGGACCAGACCTCCTGCCCTGGGCCAAGGGTGGGCTGGAGTCCACGCGCCGGTCCTCCCTCCTCCGGGGACGGCCACGGCCAGGATGTGGCCCCCGGGGGGCGTGGGGACTCCAGGCTGACTCTCCGTGGAATGGCGAAAATTAAGTTACTTGATGACGGACGTTCCTGATTTGCTCCAGGTAAAACATCGGTTGTGTCCCCAAGGGTCGCCTCCGAGCAGCTGCGCCGCGGCGGCTACCCCTGCACCTCGGCGGCCTCCCGCTCCGCCCTCTCCTTGGCCTTCTCCTTCTCCTCCACCTTCTCCTCCTTCCCCAGCACCGCCACGATCTCGGCCACCTGGCTGGTGGAGACGTGAATGTCTTCCTTGTCCACCAGCTCGATCACCTGCACAGGGAAAGACGGGGACTCAGGGGTCTGGACCACCAGGCTGAGAAAGCCGCCGGCGCTCCGTGCGGCACCGGCCCACCGGGGGCCCTCGTGCGTTTCCGGGCCCCAGGCCGCGGGAACACATCCTCGTGGGGCTGGGCCGTCGGACTGTGCGTGCTGGTGCTCGTCCTCGCCTGGCCCGGTGGACGCCGTGCCCAGCTCCGGGCAGCTGGCACTCCTCCCGAGGGGGCTGCCCACCCACGACCTCCCCACGCCCTCGCCACGGCCCCAGCAGCGTGCCCACCTTGGCCAGGTCGTTGATGTTGACCTTGCCGTCCTTGTTCTCGTCCAATGCTGAGGCCAGGCTGATGAGCTTGCTTTCCGGAATGTGCTTGATTTGCCTCATGGCACTGATGAGCTCGCTGACGCTGATGACCGTCTCTCTGGGAAAGGGGGAGCCCGCACGTGGCACCGCCCGCACCCACAGCCCCAGGCCCCCAGGCCAGGCCCGCCTCCCCGTGAGCACGCCCAGCCGGCGGGGACGCCTAACGCAGCCCCGAGAGCCCCAGGCATCCCCCTCAGGCCTGTCTGCACCGGGGCCAGTGGGGGAGCTGCCTCCTGCCCAGGGAGACAGGGGGCCCACACAGCACAGCAGGCCGACCCAGGAGGCGATGCTGGCCCAGCCTGCAGGTGAGGGGCCTGCAACCTGAGGACGACCTGAGCCTGGTCCCCGGGGTGCTGAGGGGCAGCTACGACCACCTGGGAGGGGGAGGCAGCTTTGTTCTGGGTGGAGGCAGTCCTGGCGCCCACACCCACACTCACCCTTCGAGGGAGCCCGGGGTGGCTGCGCCCAGCTTGCCGGCCTGCTGGTCGGCCTCCAGCTGCGCCAGAAGCCCATCGATCTGCCCGATCATCTGCTGCACCCGCTTGGTCAGCCGCTTGCTGGCTTTGGACTCTTCCACGTCCATCTCCTTGCCGGTCTTCGAGAGTTCCTTCTTAATCTCTTGCAAGTCCTAAGGAAAGTATTTTGTTGTCAAAAGATTGTTCTAAAAACACTTACAATGAAGTCTGCCCTGTAATTAATCTGAACCAGCGCCACGCAGCAGTGAGCCGCAGCCGGTGCCGGAGAAGCGCCAACCCCACCGTGGGGGCGCCCCGTGCGGCCGGGCGCTGGGGGTGCCCTGGTCTCTGCAGACCCAGTCCCTATTTGCAGCAAAGGGAGCGGGAGCCGTTCTGAGCCTCGGCTTTCCCGTCTGTTAAAGGAGTTAGGAAACGGACGGAGGAATCAAGGAGCGGAGAGAGTCTTCTTCAATCCTGTGCCCCTTCTGCCAGGAGCAAAGAGGGCAGGGGAGGCTGGGAGGACGAGGAGAAGGCTGGGTGTCTGACAAACCCTGGCTCCTGGAGAAGCCCAAGAGCAAAGGGCTGTGTCAGGGGAAGTTGGAACAATGGCGGTTATCTTTTCCAAGCTGGAAACTCGTCACCTTTCCCCCGCAGAGCTATGAAAACGTAGCTCTTTGAAGTCAGGTTAGGAAGTACTACTGATAAGTAAAAAGGGCAGTTTTCCATAAAAAACGAAGAACCAGTCCCCACTCCAAGACAAAGTCGGGAAATCGGGCACGAGAGGGAGGGTCTTCGCGCCAGCCGGCCAGGCCCCCTGCCCCTACCTGCCCGAGCCCACAGCACCAGACGGAGCCCGTCGCCCGCAGGCACAGCGAGCAGGGCAGCTGCAGTGGCTGCCGGGACTGAGGGAGACTCGCTCAGATCCCCCCTTCCCTCCAGACGCCCTTCGGTGCCACTGGAAGCCGTGGGTCTGGCGGAAACACACGCCACCCCGGGGCGAGCCCTGGCCCCGAACCTCGCTGTAGTCCTGCACGTCGCCCTTCAGCAGCTCCAGCTCCTCCTTCTCCTTCGTCAGGGACAACTTCTGCTCCTTCAGCTTCGAACAGGCGTCACTGAGGAGGTCGATCTCCTCCTTGGTGATCTCCTCTCCCTGGGGAAGAGACAGAGCAGAGCCCTGGGTGGAGGGGACCCCTCGTGCCTGTGGCGGCCACCTCGAACGGTGGCGTCCCGGCTGCGTGCACGGGCCCCGCCTTCTTCTCGACAGGACGTGTGGACTGACATGTGGACACTCGAGGGAGAAGCACCTGTTCCCCAGGCTTCCTCGCGCCCCGGGACCCCTCCCTCCCACCCTGACCTGCCTCCTGTCTCAAGCCTGGTTCTCGACGTGGGAACTCCACACATGTGGACCTCCACCTGACTGCTGCTCTGACACCGAGGTCCCGAGCGTGTCCCCAAGACTGTGGACAGTGCAGGTCCCACTCAGAGGGGATGCCAGACTGGCTCGCCTACTGTCCTGGCTGTGCCAGGTCCTCCGACCTCCCACAATCGCTCCCGAGTGACTGTGAGCCCGACAGGAGAGTGGCTGGGGCCGCGCTGGTCTCCCGAACCCCCACACCTGCGGGTGCGGAGGCCCCCGTTTGCCTGGCCCTACTCACACCCACCGCTCAGACAGCGCAGTGTGTCCGCAGTGCGGGCAGGGTGCACCGCGTGGGTCTTGGGTACCTACTGTCAAACCTGTCCCCAAATAGACCCTTTTATCGATGCTTTTAAGTCCCGGCCAGTGTGGCTCAGTGGACTGAACGCAGACCTGCAAACTCAAAGGTCACTGGTTCAGGTCCCAGTCGAGGCATCCACCCGGGTGGGGCCGGGCCCTCAGTGGGCGTGTGAGAGGCAGCCAGTGGGGGTGTCTCCCCCACATCGATGTTTCTCTCCCTTTCTTTCTTGCTCCCTTCCCCCCTAAAAATAAGTCAAACCTTTAAATAAAATGACGTGCTTTTGAAGTGTACGATTTCTGATTAGTTAGACATCAGTAGCACAGAAGCGCACACTGATCTTCAGGTGGTCTGCGGCCACGGGCCTCACCTCCTCCTGGCTGGCCCCTTGGTTCGCTCTCTCCTGTCACCGCCGGCCGGACCCTCAGCGTGACAGCAGGGTGGTGAGGCAGCCGCTGCACCAGCGCGTGAGCGCGGGGCCCCGTGGGGCAGAGCGTGCCCCCTCAGGCCCTCCGGGGACACTTCCCACCACAGAACACACGCTGGGTGGTCAGCCCATCCTCCTGCCCACGCAAGTGACCACTCGTGGTGTCCTGCTGACTCTCTTAACCCTCGGACGACACAGGTTGCTTTTCCGTTTCCTGGAAAACCCCAGGAAGCCGCAATGTGTCACCCTTGCCACACAACAGCTGCCTTCCAGTGCGGGGCTCCTCAGACACGAGGCCGGCTCTCTCGAGCCTGGTCTGGCCCGCGGCACACTCGTCTTGGAACGAGCTGGGGACGCCCCTCTCCCACCCGCCCTCCAGGCGCCGGCAGCACCGCAAGGCCGCTCCCGCCCACAGGGACCCCCAGCACCTTCACCGGGGAAGCAGGGGAAGCTGAGGAGGCATCTGTGGAAGCTGTTCGGCCACGAGCTGCACTTCTTGGCGGGGGCGGAGCTGCCCGGCTTCTCCACCTGAGGAGCCCAGGTCTGTGGGGACCCGGGTCCCCACGCTCTAGCGCACCCCTTCAACAAACCCTAGCTCCTCTCCGTCATTTCTCAAAGTCCGTACTTCCTGCCAACACATCTTTGGCAGCCCTCGGTCCCCAAGTTCTCCTGGGAGTTCGCATTGTCCTCTGACCCTAAATCTTCAACCCCAGGAAACAGGGCGGGGGGTCTGTCTGAGTGCAGACCGCCGCTGTCCGGGGCCCTCCTCCCACTCCTGCTCAGTGCACCAGCCAGTTGCACCTCGGCCCGGCTGTCCCTACCGTGAAAAACAGCTCTGCTATCTCTGTCCCTAACCCCCGTGCTGGAGACACACGAACACGTACGCTCCCAGCCCAGCCAGGGTCCTCGGACCTCCCCCTGTCCTCAAGGCCTCTTCACAGTGGCACCCATGTTTGTCTCCGACTGTTCCCTGGACTGTGTCCCAGGGGTGACCTGGCCTCTTTCTGGGCCTCACCGCTGTCAGCAAAATGAAGCAGAGCCCCCCACCCCCGGCTTATTCCAAGCCACACCAGTGTCCAAAAGCAGCCCCCACGGCTCTGGACAGCCCCACCCTACCCCACCTACTGCCACCGCCCGACACACAGACCCCGTAGGCCCTAGGCCGCTGACCACAAGAGCCCCCAGTCTGGGGGCTCCGTCTTTTCTTGTGACGAGTCCGAACCTTCCCGAGGTCTCAGCCCCCACACTGCGCCCTGCAGTTCCCTCCCGCCGCTGCTCCACGGCCTCCCCCGCCAAGGCCACTGACCAACCCTCGCTGCCTGTCAGGAGTCCACCTCAGGTGTCATTCCCCAGCGCCTCCCGCAGCCTCATGGCCTTGCGGTCCCACCCGGGGTGCCGTGACCGTCTGGCCAATAGACATCTGCTCCCCACAACGAGCCAGGAAGCTGCTCCGCCCACCGGGAGGCCGCAGAGGGGAGGAGTCCCGCTCCAGGAACAGGCTGTGCCCAGAGGGCAAGGGTCCCAGGGACAAGCACCCCCAGGGGACACAGCACATCGCAGGACACCAGAGAAGGTGACAGAGGGTGACAAAAGACGGCCTCTGTGGAGGGACCACACAGTGTCCCCTGCCACCGCCCCACTTGGCTGACAAGGGGCCTGGAGACCCACTTTCTCTGTGGGGGCCCGGAGCGCCCATGACCGGCAGCCCGTCCTCCTGCTCGCTGGCCCGTCCCGCCCAGCTGCTCAGCTCTGCGGCTGCTTCCCTCCCGGGTGGGTGCAGGCACCACGCACCTGCACGCCTTGCAGGACGGGGGCGGCGTCCTTCATGGCCTCCGACGGCAGAACCTCGTCTGGCACTTCCGGCTGCAGCTCGGCCTCGGGACTCCCGGCAGCAGCCTCCACTGCTTTCGGCGCCGCTTCCTTCTGAAACCCAGGCCAGGGCCGGCTCAGGGGCGGCCGAGTCCTGTCCCCGCAGTGCCCCCCCGCCCCCGCCCCCACCACTCCAGGAGGAGAGAAGGGGCCCGCCCCGCGACCCTCACCTGGGCCTCGGAGAGCCTCTGCCGCTCCTTCTCCTGGAGCTCCTGCCGGATGGCCGCCTCCTCCTGCAGCGTGGCCTCCAGCTTCGCCTTGTTGTCCACCTGCTCCCCCTCCACCTCGGCCACCTTCACCTGCGCCTCCTTCGCCTTTGGAGAGGGCGGGTCCGGCAGTGAGCCGGGGCCTGCCGCCACCAGAGAGACCCAGGCAACCCCGTGCCCCCCCCCCCGCGGCGGGGGCAGGGCGCACTGCTGGGAAACCCCTCCAGGCCCCCGAGGACCCCCTTCTGCACGCCTCACGGGAGCCCTCGCCCTTCAGGGACAGGGCAGGCCTGAGAAGGGGAAGGGTGAGTGGGTGGCACACAGGTGCCCGAGGCCAGGGGCTGGGTGGTGTTTCCAGGGTCCCTGCCCTCAGGGGCGTGGGCAACAGAGAGGTCTCCTGGCAAACCCACCACTATCTCTGGGAGCGTCTGCAGCGTGGACTTGAGCTGGTCAGCGGGCGACAGGGTGTCTGGGAGGTACATGGCCCGGGACAGGATGAGCAGCGAGGTCGGGATCTCCTGGTGCAGGTGTAGCTCCAGCCACTGCAGTTGGGAGTTCAAGACCCAGACTCACCTGCTGGCCTGGAGAGGGCTCTGACCCTGGAACTTTGCTCCAGGCTGGTTCACTGTCTCATTCTGTGACTCGAAGCTGCCTGAGCCGGCCGAGCACAAGTGGCCAAAGGCCCTTGAGTTGGTGCCCAGCAGCCAGGCCTCGGGGCCTGGGAAATACTGAGCAAAACCAGACTCACTGCCAGCAAAGTCTTCACTCTAAAATGGCACGAAAGCCCCAAAGGTGGTATTTGTGAATTCACTCAACATTTGGGGTTCACACACCTACCGTGGGCCAGGCACCACTTTAGACTATCTTCTTTAAGACTTTACTGATTTATTTTCAGAGAGAGAGGAAGGGAAGGAGAAATGAGGAGAGACAAGCATCAGTGTGTGGCTGCCCCTAGAGCGCCCCCCACTGGGGACCAGGCATGTGCCCTGACTAGGAATTGAACCTGCAACTCTTTGCTTCACAGGCCGGCACTCAGTCTACTGAACCGCAGAGCAGGCCACTGGGGGCTGCACAGAAGACGCAGCCAGCGACAGGTCAAGAGGTGAGAACACGCTGCGTGACAGTGTGTGTGTGTCCGGGACCGACGGCGCGTGTGCCTGCCTCCACCAGGAGGACGTGCAGACGGCCCTGGCGGTTGGGAGTCGAACCGTCAGGCCCCCGCATGCTTTCTGCCATCTGACTGAAGAGCGAATCGCTCCAAGTGCTGCCCGTCCCAGGTCTGATGGTGGCAGGGGGACAGGGCGGCCCCCCAAGCTGCCGGAGAGGAGCACCGAGACCCTGGCCCAGGTGAGAGACAAGCCCTGGTCTGAAAGGCGAGCAGTTCGCCAGACCCTCCCTTGTGCACAGGCGATGGCAGAGAGAGGCAGGAAGGACGTTACTGCCACCACAAGCTGCTGCGGAGGACTAGCGCCGCCTCACAGCACCGGGTGCGATGCAGCCGGACATGGGCGGAGACCACAGCGGGCCTCCGGCCCCTGGACATGCCCCCCACCCCCCCACGCGGTCCCCAGGAGCCTGAGCTGGGCTGACTCAGAAGGAGCCCCTAAGACCTCACTGGGCGGGGGGCCCAGTCGGGCCTGTGACCATGCACCTGCTTCAGCTGGTCCCGCAGGCGGTCCTCGGTGACGCCAAGGGCCCGCATGCCCCGCGCCCGGCATGCGGCCTGCAGCTCCTTGACGTTGAGGCTGTCCACACCCTCCTCAGCAATCAGCTGGAAAACAAAGGTGACTCGTTACCATCTTTGAAAGCTGCTGGGGGTTTACGGTGTTTGTGCCACACACTTGTGAACCAAGTGTCCCATAACGAGCCACTCTCCTAATGTGCTCTGCCAAGTGACAGATAAGCTGCGGCCTGGTCCCTGGTTTGCAGGGACAGGGCTGTCCGATAGGGAGGGGGCTGGGGGAGCGCAGGACGGCCAGGACCAGCCCGGAGACGAGTGCCGAAGCACACCTCCGCCCAGGCCCTGCCACGCCTGCCGGACCCGGCACAGGTCCTCGCCTCCCAGCCCACCCTCGCGGAGCCGGCTGTGTCTGTGACGCAGGGTGGGGTGACCCTGAGGCGCCCAAGATGGCTCTGGGCCTCCGCCCAAGCCCCTCCCGAGCCCGAGGGACAAGGAAGGCCCCGTGCACTGGGGTGATGCTGTGACTGACGGAGCCACCCAGCCAAGACGCAGTTTCGGGCGCCCACCTGAAGACAGTCACCGGCTTCAGAGAGACGGAGAGGAAAACGCCGACTGGCTGCCTCCTGGATGTGCCCCAACCAGGACCCGAACCCAGGCCCTTCTGGTGCACAGACAACGCTCCAGCCCCCTGGGCCGCCCGGCCGGCACCGTTTCCCACCCTCCTCGCCCCTCCGTCTGCCTGGAGAGGCAGGCAGCACACACCGTCACTTCTGCCTCGACCACCGAGGGTCTGGAAGCCACACGGGGAGGCCACGTCGGGTTTGCCGCTCTCCTGCTGCGCCGAGGCTCCCGCCCCGCGCCCTCTGCTCAGCGAGCCTCCGCCGGGTCCTGCTGGGCGAGCTTGCGGGTCACACACCCCTCGGGCCACCTGCCAGTGTCCCCACCTGCCAGTGTCCCCACCTGCCAGTGTCTCGCGTGCTCCGCGTTCCTCCGGGGCTGGACAGGGTTCTGGGCTTTTTTCTGGCAGGCGAGAGGGCCTGCCCACTCCCACGGGGCCTCCGCGGCACCCGATGAGAAGCCGCTGCTGCCCGTGCCCTTTTTGCTGCAGGCAAGACGCTGCTCTCGACACCGCGCGCGTCCGGAGGCATCTGTCTGGCTGCGACGCGTCTCGACGGGGTTTCTTTAGGTCTGTCCTGTGCGAGGTCCCCTCGGTGGCTGAAACTCGCAGGCTTGTCCGCTGCTGGACCCGGGAAGTGCTCGCCGTCCGCCTGTGCCCACTTCCTGAGCTCTGCCCGGCCCCTTCTCCTCCCGGAGCCCCCAGGGGCCCTGGGCGCACACTGGTTCTTCACTGGTTCCTCTCCGGCGGTTCGGGGCGATTCCCGCGGCCTCGCACTGACCGGGTCCTTCTGCCCGGCCTTCTACTCCTGACCGCACTTTGCGTGGAACGTCCGCTCGGTTCTCCCTTTTCTTTGCTGAGACGTTGTCTCTGGGCGCACAGCGGCGGCTGTGAGACCCTACCTGGTGTCTTTAGCCTGTCATCTCGGCACCGGCACCCACAGGTTACCATTTCCGCTTGCTCTGGGACCCTTCTGGTTCTAGGCACGAGGGGATACTTCCTGCTGAACTCAGGTGCTCTGAGCACTACGTTATAAGACTCTGGATCTTATTCCAATTGCCTGACTGAGCTGGCTCCGTCTGGCATGGCTCTGGCACGGGGTTAGAGGTAGATTTTGTAACTGATAACACAGCATCAGTGGGTCCAACCTAATGGCCAAAGTTATTCACATCTCTCAAGCAGCCCAGCTGTCCTGGGTGTGCGAAAATCTTATTTAACTCCTCTGGCCCCGAGCCCCAGCCTGTGTTGCACTTCCTGCCCCACCCAGACTGTCCCCAGCTGGCCACTCCCACCACCACAGCAACAAAGACCGAGACTGGGGCCTCTGCTTTCCCTCACTGCTGCATCTGCTTCCTGGCCCTGGCGGCCGAGGTCTCCCGAGGCCCCAAATGGCACTGTGGCCGTTTCCAGGGAACCACAAACGACAGGCCCCTTTCGCGGGCACTGAGCCCTCGGCACCACCTGCCAACCCTGGGACCTGCACCCCAGGGGCCGGGTGCTGCCGCGCTCCTGCCAGGCTGCCCACTGGGCCTCGGCAGGCCCCCAGGACCGAGGTGCCAAGTTTCTGTTGGGAGGGGCAGGGGCACCTCATTACTGGCCCCACCTGGCTTCTGACTCCACCCCAGGAGGAAGGAGCGTCTTGGGACTGCTTAGTGAGATGGGGGTCCTGGCTGGAGTCGTCTGTCCCTCTGGGCAGCCCCGTCCTGCGCTGTGGCAGAGTGGGCTTCGCCCCTGCCAGCATCTGCAGCCCCAAGGCTGGAACCTGCGGGTGCCAAGACGACCCGCCCCATCCATCCTGGGGTCCCAGGGTCTCTTCTCCCCACGTCTGCGTCTCCTCACGTCTGCCTTCTGCTTCCTGTCCGGGCAGGCTTCCTGCCTGCTCACGCGGGCGCTCCGTGAGCAAGGGGCTGAGTGGCAGCTGGAGGGCTGCTCCCGCCTCTGGCTCCCGGGCAGAGCAACGTCACGAGTGCCCCCCCAGAAACAGGGTTCACGGCACAGCAGAGACGAGTGCCCCCGTCCTGGGAGTGCCACCTGCCCCGAGGAGCATCTCCCCCAGACCAGCCCCACGGGGACACATGGAGAAGCCAGAGACAGCAGGATGCAGCACCCATGCACACACAGCACCAGAGAGCGGAGACAGCCGGGGTTAGGGCACTTGTCTGCGGGCTGGGCCAGGCCAGCACGAAGCATGAGCTGGCCTTCTGCAGGCCCACGTGCAGCAGCTGAGTCCAGGCCTCAGGCCACTGCTAAGGGGCAGAGACATCCCATCGAGCTAAGGAGAAACAGGGTGTGCCAGGGGCTGCTGGAGCAGACAGGCCTTGAAGGCTACAGTCCCGAGAGGCGAAGCAAGACGTGGGAACCACCCTGGTGCCCGGTGTCAGGCTAAGCGGGCAGAGGGGAGGAGCTGGGTGAACCCGCTGGTACATGGCCGGGGCGCCAGGCTGTGCCGTGCGGGGGCCGCGAGCACAGGGGGCTCGTCCGAACGGCAGGTCCAGCCCTGGTTCAGGCAATGGCCGTGACGGGGGGCTGCGGGAAGAGAAAGGCACCCAGAACCTCTCTGATGTTTTAGACAAGATTTGTATTGAAATAACTCAACACTACGAACAAGCAAAACTGAGGAAACAAAGACCTCTATTTTGTGCTGTTACAGGAAAAAGCACAAACCAAAATTAACATGTTGAAGAACACAGGAAAGATGGAGCAGCTTTATATGAGAAGTGAGATTTCTCTAAAGAAGCAGAGCCCCGAACTGCATTCCTGGGACTGAGACCAGGGGCGCAGGTCGGCCCAGGAGGATCGGACCCGGGGGGAGAGGCCGGCGCCGGACGGTGTGGGGGGCTGTGGGTGGGACTCCAAGGCGGCGGGGACTCTGAACTCTGGGGACAGGGCGGTGGCGAAATAGACACACCTGGTGCAGCATCGCTGTGTAGTGGCCCAATTCCGACCACACAGCAAACCTCAGAGGCCGCCAGATGGACACGTTGGCAGGAATGCCACCTGGCCCCCACCCACTGAACAGCAGCCTGGAGCTCTGCACCCAGAAAAGCGCCCGGAACCCAAAGGCAGACCAGACGCCCACACCATGGACACTGGGAGCCGTCCCGAGATGCCAGTTCAGGGTGGGCCGTCGGGATGGGGGCCACGGGCAGGAAGGCCGGGGACCACTGCTCACTGCGGGCACGCGGCACCACCCGGCGACAGCAGGAGGACACGAGTGCGCAGAGAAGCCCTGGGACAGAGGGGCGGCCCTGCCAGGAGCTGTGGGAGGGCTGTCACCTTGGGGGAACCTGCCAGAGTGACAAGGACCACGCTGACAGGAGGACAAAACACTGCACCTATGCACAACGAGGGAAGGCAGGAGGCTGAGTGCCACCTGACAGGTGGGACAGACGATGGACGAAACAGCCCGACAGACAGACATGTGGCTGGAACACCGGACCCACGGACACCGAGGTGACAGGCGCCGCCGAGGAGAAGGACCCTCCCGGAGGCTCCGGAGCAGCCCAGGCACACGGCGGCCGGGCCTGCTCTCGACTTCCTGCCTCTTACTCGGAGGCCTAATTCCAGGTCACCGTTCAAGGAAATTACCAGAGATCTTGGGTAAAAGTCCACGCTAACACTTAGTGGAGTGTTGTTTAGGGCAGCAAAGGAAAGGCTAAAGCAGTTAAGTTACGAAGCTCTCTTGTGACGAAGCACCAGGCAGGCATGAAAATTCACCCTTCCGCCCCGGCCGGTTGGCTCCGTGGGCGGGAGTATGGCCCCCACACACTGGAAGGTTGCACGTTCGATTCCCAGTCGGGGCGCACACCGAGGCTGTGGGTTCGACTCCCCGGTCAGAGCAGGTCGACGGCAGGCTGCCGACCGCCGCTTCCCTCTCCCACCGAGGCCTCCCACCTGCTCACCGCACCTGGCGGCCAGGGAGAGGCCGCAGGGGCTGCAGGGCCCAACGCTGCCGTCCCAGAGCTGCGGTCTGGGCCGGCGCCCCACCGGCTAGGCCCGCCCCGCCCTCCTGCGCCCACCTTGTCGTCGGCCTTGATGGAGCGCAGCCGCATGGTGAGCTGGAAGCGCAGGAAGCTGTTGGTGCCCATGGACTGCAGCTCCAGCAGCTTGCACAGCGCGACCAGCTGCGGCCGAGTCAGGTTGTCCAGCGTCAGCTCGTCCTCGAACAGCTTGGAGAAGCGCAGGATCTCCTCGTTGCTGGGCCTCTCCCCAGTCTCTCGGATCTGCCAGGCAAGGGCAAGGGTTGCCCGCGGCCGAGGCCGGTTCCCCGGCACACGCGCAACGCACGCACACACTCTCACCCCACACCGCCCCTCCCTGGGAGGAGGCAGGAGCAGGCCGGGAGGGCCCCTCGGACTCCACCCTCCTGGACGCCGGGCCCACAGGGCAAGGCCAGTGACTGCAGGAGGCCACGGGCCCCTCACTGCCCACCAGCAGGCCTCGCCTCCCTCTCCCGCCTTGGAGGTGACCGTGGAGCAGCCTTGGGGTCTCTCCTCAACCAGCCTGGCCCCCCAGCCTGTCGTGACTGCAGGTCTTCGCATCTCTCATGTGCCACAGTACCCCCCACCCCAGGGGCTGCCATGAAGTCAGACACAGGCAGGGGAGTAGGGGTCGGGGGTCACGCTCTCTGCAGAGGCTCGGCCTCGCCAGGCTCCACCGCCCACCTAGGAGCACCCCTGTCGCTACAGCAGAAAAAGGGAGAATGGCTACGAGGGCCACTCCCAGGTAAGGCAGGTGCACGCAGGGCCTGTGGGCTGAGGCCGGGAGGACTCCGGAGCGCCAGGGCACCTTCTGGAAGAACACGGAGAAGTCTTTGGTGGCGTTCCCCTTGGCTGCCTTGTTCTTCAAGGCCATCTCCTCAATGGTGTCCTGAAGGAACTTGGCCAGCTCCAGCTTGACCCGCAGCTCCTTCTTGAGCCTCTCCTCCTGTGGGGCGGACACAGGGCGCTGCACTTGTCCCCTGGGGTCCCCAGGGCGCAGTGCTGGAACCTGCTCCCCCAGCCCCCCAGCCCGTACGCTCTGTGGGACCCGAGCAGGTTGGCCAGAGCACACACGTGGCTGGAAAGGTACACCCCCAAAGCACCGATGGACACAGGAAGGCCTGCACGGGACCAGCCCGGGCCCCACCCCACACACAGGCCCCAGCCCGGGCCCAGAGAAGCCATGCTTTCAAATGCATTTAGGAGGGACAGCCCCGAGCCCCAGCGCCTGGTGGGTGCCCCTTGCGCCGCACGGCAATCCCAAAGGAGTACAGAATGTCACGGCAGCTGCCGCAGGAGGCCACCTTGCTGGACTGGGTCTCAAAGGTGGACGGCAGCATGTTGGGGAAGAGCTTCACAGCGATGGGCAGCAGGAACTCCATGAAGGGCACCACCACGAAGACAAGAAAGGGCACCAGGCGGAAGAGGTCAGCACAGATCCGGAGGAACTGGGGAGAGCAGCGTGGTCAGAGGCCACCGGCAGGCCCATGCAACTGGGAGCCCCAGGCCCCCAACAGCTCGCGGGGCAGCTCCTGAGGGCCACTGCCATCCACCACGGCCTGCAGGAAAGCTGGACAGGAGCCCACGCCCTGCCCGGAGCAACCCCCGCCCCCAGAGGCACTGACCCATGGCACTGACCCGGAAAAGCAGCCCAGGGCTGTAGAGCGCCCGGGCCCCCAGAGAAATGCCCACAGGGGATGGGGTGGGGGCCGAGGAGGCAGCTCGCCCTACCTGGCGGCGCTCGCGGCGAGTCAGGGTGTGGCCGTTGAGGATGCGCCAGAGCATGCGCGCGGCGATCTTGGTGTCGATCCAGAGCAGGCGGAAGCCGTGGTAGTAGTGCCGCAGCTCGTCCAGGACCCGCTGCCCCAGCGACTTCTTCACGGCCACCTCGGAAGGGGGGCTGTACACGGGGCCTCCCTCCTCCAGCTTCTTGTTCTTGTCCTTCAAGGACTTGAGAGACTTCTCCACCATCGAGTCGTCACCCAGCGGGGGCGACGAGTGCCAGCAGCGTGCGGGCAGCGAGCGTGGCGTGGGGCCCAGCAGACCCTCCGGGCCCAGTGCCCACTGCACTCGGGCCACCGCGCCCACGTGCTGGAGCCTCGGTGTCCGGCGACCCAGGGGGCCGCCTCCGAAGCAAAAGTACTTGGGGTGCACGGGAGCGCGGCCCAGAGGAACGTGCCTGGAAAAAGGGAAAGGACACCATCTCTGACTGAATAGGCCCCGCCCCCGCTTCCTGTGCCCGCGGGCGGGATGGACACGAATGCGGGCAGCGAAGGACCCGGGGGCAGACAGACCCGGCAGTGGTCCGAGGCCTGTTCCCCCCGACTGAGGATCAGAAGGTGGGGTGTGGGGCATGGTGGTCCTCGCCCTACCAGGCCACTTTCTACAAAAACCTGCAGTTCCTGAAAACCAGCGAGGATGCCCCAGTCGAGGGGGACCCAGGCCCCTGAATCAGCTGCCCCAAAGGCATCGGTGCAAAATGGCAGGAACCAAGAACTGCTGCCCAAAGCCCACGTTCTCCCCTCGGCTCCACGCTGGCATCCCTGCCCCTGCAGCACCCAGGCAGGTCCCGGGCTCGCTCTGGCCCGACCTGCAGCCCTGTCCCCCTAGCCCACACCACTCCGGACTCCAACCCGCACACTCGGTCCCCCACTGGCCGTGAGGGCTCCGTCAGGCCCCATGGGAAGCCACAGGGGCGTCTGTAGGTGAGCCCTTCAGAGCCCCCTCTGTCCACACTCTGAAGCCCATGGGCAGCCTGGGCGGACCGCAGCCAGGGCACGCCAGCCTGCACATCCTGGGCTGGTGCGGCTGCACACTCAGCACCTGCCCACAGCACCCGGTGCCCGGCCAGAGCCCAGGGCCGGTGTTCACTGTGCACGACACAAACTGGGACAGACGAGCCCACCCTCCTCTTCCAGTGCCAGTCTTCCAAGGGCGGCACCGTCGGGAGCCTCTCCCTGCAGTGCACAAACCCACCGCTAGGCGGCCACAGGCTCCCACGAACTTCAGAGGCATCGCAGCTCCTTCCCACTTGTCCCCGCCCACCGCGTGACGCCCACAACACAGACCTGAGCTCACGGGCGGACTACCCCAGTTCATCTCCAGCTCCACTACTCACTGCGGTGTGACCTTGGGAAGTAACTTAGTCTCTCTGCTTCAAGAGCATCCTTTGTAAAGGTGTGTCCTACTACACCGATGCACAAAGTACCCAGGAAGGTGTCCGGCACCCAGCGACCCCCGGCACAGAGATGGCAGCTGTTTCCACTGCCCCATCAAACCCTCTGGGAAGCCGCTGGTCGGGGCTGGAAGAAAGCTGGGGGACTGCTGGAGCAGCCGCCCCATTTATAGAGGGGGTGCTGAAGGGCAAGCTCGCAGCCTGTGCTGGGCAGGTACAGCCCGCACCGGGCACTGCTGGCCTCTCTCCTGTCCTGGGGGGTCCCTCCAATTCTCCCCACCCGACAGTCATGCGCCCTCGACCACCTGAGGCTGGGGGACCAGCTGCCGCCAGTGGCCCTGGACCCACTCAGCTCTGGTGCGGCGAGGACAGTGCCCGCCCAGAGCTCAGCTGTGCTGAGCCAACCCTCTGGGGAAACAGCCAATTTCCGACGCTCGAGTGGCTCCTACAAGGAGGCCTGGCATCAGCAGTGGCCGGGGCAGCACAGACAGACGTGTGCAGACAGACTGAGCTGAGGAGCACACGGTGTGCCCCGCAAGGGCCCACGAGGCCCGGGCTGCTGCTTGCAAGCATCTGTCACTAACACGCTAGCCAGAAAGGCTTAGCCATTTTCAAAGGCGTAGAACTGTGTCATTTACTATTTTAAAAACTCCCATCTAGCCTTGATGTGGCGGCTCAGTGGATTGAGCACCAACCTGCAAACCAAAGGGTAGCAGGTTCGATTCCCAGTTGGGGCATATGTCTAGGTCATGGACCAGGTACCCAGTAGGGGTGGACGAGAGGCAAGCACATGTTGATGTTTCTCTCCCTCTCCTTCTCCCTCCTTTCCCCTCTCTAAAAATAAATAGATAAAGTCTTTAAGGGTGGGGAGATAATACAGACAACTGTAATTGAACAATAAAATAATTTCAAAAAATAAAATAAAATCTTCAAAAATATATCTTTTAAAAAAGCTTGGAGCCCTGGCTGGTGTGGCTCAGTAGATTGAGTGCTGGCCTGCATACCAAAGGGTCAGTGGTTCGATTCCCAGTCAGGGCAGATGCCTAGGTTGTGGGCCAGGTCGTGCAGGGAGTGAGAGGCAACCACACATTAATGTTTCTCTCCTCCTCTTTCTCCTTCCCTTCTCTCTAAAAATAACTAAATAAAATCTTTCATATAAAAAAAAAAAAGCTTGGAAATGCCCATCAGTGGCTTGTCTAACTTCAGGGTACCGACACGGGCATCCACCTCAACCCAGCGCCACTCCAGGCCTGTGCGAGGAGACTCGGCAGCGCCGGGCCGGCTGCACAGCCACCGGATGCCGGGCCCCAACGCAGCCCCGCCGACCCTGAAGCCAGGTGTGAACATGCCACCTGCACGACCCTGCAGGTCACTAAGCTCTGGCTAACAAGTCCCCCTGGAAGGAACAGCTCCCCAAGACAATGGCCCGAGGCCTGGCCTGAGAGGGTGCTGACCCTTCACAAGCCACCCTGCTCTTCGGGGACACGTGGCCAGCAGAGATGACATGACACCAAGCAGCACCGTGACCGAGGAGGGAGGCTCCGGAGGAGCAGAGCCTCCCCGCCCGGGGGACCGGAGACCACGGCCTGCAGCTCCCACCCGCTGTGGGGCCCGAGGCCCTGAGATGCCCAGTGCTGAGCGTGCAGGGGGCTCCTGTCACCAACATGCTGGTGTCCCCACAGTCTTGTGAGCAGTCACAGGAGTACGAACAACCCCCCACCACACCGGTCTCCCCGCCGCGTGAGGCTGCAAAGCAGTGTGCCGCTTCACGGCCGGCTGCCTACTCAGAGCCGGGCGCGCCCGTCCTGCCTTCACTGCCGGGACCCGGGCGGGCATTGGCGACGTGGTCATGGACCGGAGATGCCCCACCCACCCACCCTGCAGGGGTCTGGACCCTTCACGTGAGGACAGAGCTCACAATAACGGACATAAACGGTTACCACAGCAGTCACTTACCTGTGTGACTCAAGTGTTCCTATACTGTGGGGTGAAAATGAAAATAAAGTTTTTGGATACTGAGACATAAGAGTTTGGCTCTCTTCTATAATTCCTAATTTGAACTGTATTGAGTTCTGCAAAAGTCTTCTCGTTCTTACTCTTTAACTTCCTAGAAATCATGAACTTATAATAAAGTTACATCAATGAAGCTCAACCTCCACTTTTCCTAACTTCACTCATTTCGGAGCAGGACGGGGAGAGAGAGAGAGAGGGCCACGGGCCTGCTGCCCATTCACCGCACGCTCGCTGGGCGAGAGTCCTGCCCGCGCCCTGACCTGGGGGTCGACCCACAGCCTCGGTGCATCGGGACGACCCTCCGACAGCAGAGCCGCCAGGCCAGGGCACTTTCGTGCTCTAGCCTGAACCTGGAGCGCAGGTGCACTTGAACCCTAAAACAGTGTTGGATAAACCCAACACCCACTCCCTACAAGAACACTCTGCAGCAGAGAGGCAGCAGCCCGCCTCGCACGGGGCTGGCGTACAGCGGGTGAGCTGGGCTGCGCTGCCAGAGCGGCCGGGCCGTCCCGACCACGGCCTGGCTCCTGCGGTGAGCGGGAGTGGCTCACAGTGCCCAGAGCGCTGGGAAGAGAGAGACAAAAGCGGGCAGAGGACAGTCCCAGGCCTGCCTGCAGAGGCGTCACAACAGTGGCTGGGGAGGCCCAGAAGGGCTGGGTCTGGGGGCCGGCACGGGGAAGCAGGCATGTCCGAGTAACGATCCCCGAGAAAGGACTGTGGGGCCAGAGGCCTGGCACCCTGCCACCACGTGCCAGGTCGGCTGGAAGGTCGCTTGCTTTTTTCCCGTACGGTGGGTTTCCTAGTGCTTACTTGTCTTTAACGTCACTTGAACAACGCTGTTAGACTGTACTGTGACAGATGTCACATCAGTGTGCATTTAAAAACTTATCAAAATGGGTGAGTTTCTCTGCAGCCTTTTAATATGGAAGATGGAAGAAAATACGTAACATTTCTGGCACATTATGCTTTATTATTTCAAGGAAGGTAAAAATATGACTGAAGTGTGAAAAAAGATGCAGTGTGTGCAGAAGGTGCTGTGATTGACCGAATGTGTCAAAAGTGGTTTGCGAACTCTCGTGCTGGACATTCTCGCTGGACGATGCTCCCCAGGTGGGCAGACCAGCTGAAGTTGACAGCCGTCAAACCAGACATTAGCTGAGAAGAATCAACGCTCTACCGGGGGAGACGGCTGACACACTCAGAACACCCAAATCCGCACGGCGACGGTGAAAGGGGAAACACTGTGCGGACTCTTGGGCCTGCCCCACGGGTCACATCTGGGGCTGTCGGAAAGGCAGCACAGGCGGCCTACGGAACGGGAATGACAGCCCTTCTTCTGAGAGAGAAAAGACTCTAATGAAACATTTACACCTGGGAACACAGTGTGCAACTTTAAAAGTTACTATTCCCCAGTGATTTTATGGGTACTGACATTCCAATTACAATTCTGCAAAGACCTGAAAGAATTCTCAAGTTCCACTAGGGGGTTGTCCAGAAAGAAGAGGTGCAAGGTCTGGTCCCCCAAACACGAGAGGTGGGGGAGCTCACTAAGGTGAACGGTGGGCACAGACCACCACGGACAACGGACGCCCTGCGTGGGGAGACAGGCCCCGCCAGCTCTGGGGCCCCCACACCTGGGCTGCTTCCCGCAGGGCGGCCCGGCCCCGCAGCAGCCCTAACCTGTCTCAGCCATCAGTACTCGGAAAGCAGAGACTCCATGCCCTGCCGGACTGGTGTGGCTCAGCGGGGTGGGTGTCATCCCACAGAACAAAGGGTTGCTGGACAGGACACGTCCAGGGTGCAGTTAGGTCCCCGTCCAGGGAACACGGGAGAGGCAGCACATCGATCTTCTACTCTTACATAGATGCTCCTCTCCCTCCGTTCGCCTCCAACACGCCAGTACCCTCAGGCCACTGAGCCGCCCTGTTTCCAGCCACCCACAGGCCCCAGAGCCCTGAAATGCCACTGGAAGGCTAAAAAGTTCACTTCCGAATGAAATCTAGAAAGCCCAAAAGTAAAGCTGTCCTATGCTGAAACACCTGAGGGTCCACGCCATAAACAGAACGGTTTCAGGACAAGCCCCGCACTGCAGAAACCTGAGTAACATCAAAGTTCGGAGCCGCAGCACTGGCAGCGGGGAGGGGTCCTCAGACAGGCACTGCTGTGCCCTCAGGGACGCCGCCCTCTTGCCAGCTCCCCCTCAGGGACACCGGCGGGGGGGTGACAGGCCCTGCAAGCTGGCTGTGCACCCGAGCACGCTGTAAGGCCTTCAAATAGAAAATGGGCTTGCGCTACCAACCAGGTTTTTATTTTACAGAATGAAATCTGTCCTGGAAAGCATCCTCCAGAAAAGCCTTCTAGCCCAGACGAGGTGACGAGTCGATCGTCTCGAAGGAGGAAGGAGACCCCTGAAGACCCAGGGCTCCACAGCCAGGGCGGGGGGCCGGCCGGGCGGCACTCGGGCGGGAGGTCCTGCACCCTCCGACGGAAGGAGCTGGGGGCGTCAGGAGAGAGGAGCTCTGCTCTGGCTATCCGGGCAGGTGGACAGGGACCTGGTGCCAGGACAGAGGCCTGGGTGTCCCAACACGGGCCTGACAGGGGGCCTGAGGCAGACCACCAACAGATGCTAAGCAGAGGGGATGGCAGGTGGGAGAGCACGGCAGCCCCAGAAGATGTTCAAGTGCATATGGGATGGCGGACAGGGAAGGGTGGGTGCCACCGCCTCCAGGAAGCCCTCCGGCCTTGCAGCAGCACCACGGAGCTCTCTCACCAAAGGGAAGTCCCCCACGTTCCAGCTGCGACCCCAGAACTCGGCAGGGGCACGCCCCATGGCCAGCACTCACTCGGCACACGCCTCTGTGCAGGAGTGCAAGGAGTGCGCAAGTGAGGCAGGGCCTGCCCGGGGCCGACAGAGCCCTACGGCGACAACGCCGCCTCCCCACGTCCTGCGTCTTCTGGCATGAATCCACGATGGCCCCCCACAAAGGGCGGCCGCATGGCAGCAGAAAAGATCGGTCCCACTCAGCGCACACTGTGCAAAGACGCACTGTATGGGTGCCACTGGGTGTCGGAGAACCCAACACACAAGAAAAAGGACCAGAGTAAAATACACCAAAACCCCAATGACATTTGTCACAGGCACCGGGACTGTAAACGTTCATCTACTTTCCACAGACTCATCAGTGGATGGGGTTATATATTTCAAATTGAAGGACAAAGCGAAAGAGAAGAGAGACAAAGAGCAGATGGTGCCACCTCCCTGGGGGTCACGTGTGCTCCGGGCGGACAGCGACACTCATTTACTTACACGCAGCCTGTCAACCCCACGGTGCTGGCACAGCTGAGACAAGCGTGATCCCCCAGACCACCTGTGACAAAAACAAAGGGAGACAACAGTCAGTCTGCGGACGCCACCTCTCGGGATCTGAGAGGGTGCCCCTGCCGTGAGGTGCGCTGCAGGGGGCCTGTCTGCACGCTGGGGGGCTTCACAATGCTGCCAGGGGCAGGGTCTGCCCTCGAGAGGGACGTAGTGTCTCGAGGCAGCCCTGGGCCCCTCGCTTCCCAAGCAGGGACACTAGGCTCCACCTGGCAAGGGCCCATGAAGTCCAACCTGCAGGTCCCCCACGTGGGACCAGTCTGCCTTGCTCCAGCTTGGCTCTGGTGGGCAATGGCCAAAGCACACATGGCCCCATGCACAGGCAGCCCCACAGTGTGAGCGAGGGCCATGTAACAGTGACCTGAAGTCCTCCCTGCTCACAGGAGGGGGCAAGGGCAGAGAATGATGGACAGACAAATGCCAAGAGCAAGCCATTTATTTCTGGGTCCGACGCTAATGACAGCACAGAGTGCAACGTTAAGACCCGTGTATGTGGCATCTAGCCCCCATGGGCCTGCCTAGGCTCCAGGTTCACCCACAGGACTGACGGTCAGGCCTGCCCGGGATCAGACCCTGTGCTGGGAGTGGTCTGTGAGGGGACAAGACCGACTCTGATGGGATGCTGGGCAGTGCGCCTGGAAGGCAGGAGCTCCTGGAGCAGGTCTGGGTGGCCAGAGGCTGGGAGGGGAGGGCAGGAGGGAAGGTGGGCAGGGCAGCGAACAGGCTCCACAACTGGGCACCCTCGGCGCAGCCGGGCAAGGTGGACCCAACCTTCTGCTCCCAGTGGACCCTCTGGGGACGCGGCCTTCCGGTGGTCACTTATGTAACCCAACAGGAGGCCAGTGTCAACCCGGGCACAACCCCCCTTTCTTGTGCAGAAGGCTAGTTCCATCCAACGTTAAATTCAGGACCTGGTAGGTGGATGCCAGCTGAGTTCTAGGGTGGGGGCTGGGCTTGAGGGCTCAGCTGCCAGGACTCAGAGGCTACAGTTTCAGTCCAAATTAAAAGGCACCAGTGAAGAAAACACTACTCCAGTGGAGGAGCACCCCCCCAGTTGTCTCCCAAACAGAAGCCCCCTCCCCTGTGCCTGGGGCAGCCCCCACCTCCGGCTGACTGAGAAACAGCTCCTGCTATGCAGGTGGTCCAGCAAGAGGGTGGCCGTCATAGCTCCCAGGGCCCCCTGGCCTGCCCCACATCTGCAAGGGGCGTGAACCACACCTCCTTCTACCTGCCCCTCAGACTCTGAAGGCTTCCCCAGCCTACCCCAGGGCTCTCCTCCCATCCCCTCGGCAGCAGGGGTGTGGTCCGTGGGCCACCCCTCCTTCTGGGAGCCCCCTTATCTTGTCTCCTGTCCAACAACAACTCTCCCACGCCCGCTGGGCATCCTGCAAGTCACTCCTGACGCTGCCCAGACTCGGCACGGACCGCAGGGGAAGGCTGGGTCCCCACTTCGCATGTCAGCTGCAGGCAGGGTGCCCAGGCCGCCCACTCTGTCAACTACAAATGCAGGGGTTCCCATGAAGCCCCTGGTTTTGATAATTTGACACAGGACGGCTTCAGGACTCCGATCCTGCTCTCCTCACTGTTACAGTGTACCATAAAGGCTACAGATAAACGACCAGACCCAGAGGTACACAGCTGGAGGTCCAGAAGAGTCCTGAACACAAGAGCTTCTGTCCCCTGTGGGGCCACCAAGGACTACAAAGCTCCTGAGCCAGCTGTTGAGGAATTTGTATCCTTGTCACCTAGGTGTGATGGATCCTGTTTTTGGCCAATGGTGAGTGAATCATTCTCCAGACCCACCTTCTCCCTGGAGGTTGGGGGTGGGGTTGGAAAGTCCAGGCCATTGAGTACAGGTACCTCATTGGCATAAACTCAGGTTAGAGAAAAGGGGCTCATTATAAATCACAGGACACATCTGGATCACTCTGGAAATCTCATGACCTTTCAGAGCTCCGGCAGCAGGTAGAAGGGGGTGTGTGGTTCACACCCCTTGCAGATGTGGAGCAGGCCAGGGAGGGGGCAGAACCATTCATATTTCTTTACATCCCACACCTTCCTTTACCTGGCTTCCCGGAGACCACACTCGTCCACGCTCCAATCCCCACCCCCAGCTGCTGCAGGCAGAGCACTCAGAGGGCCACGGGCCCTTCACACACACCCACTCCCAGACCTCCAGGCTGCTCCTCCCCAGCCCTCTAGTTCAAGGCGGGCCAGAGGCGGGACATCCCTGTGGGCTGCTGCTCTCATACCCGCCCACAGCCAATCTGGTCAGCCCACCTCCAGGCAGACCAGCCTACTCCCAAGTATGCCTGGCACTCAACATCCCCTCCGCAAGAGCAGGGTGTGAAACGGCCAAAGTGCAGTCACTGCAGAGGAGGGGCCAGCTGGGCAGCACCTCATCACCCACCAATGCCGCGTGACAGCTATAAATCACACTGCACCGGGTGCTACAGGGACACTTCTCCCCCAAACCCATAACCCCAGACTGACCCCATGAAAACATCAGATGAACCCCACCAGGGGCATCCTACGGTGTGTCTGCAACCCCCTCAAACCGGCCAGGGGAAGTCAGGAGCTGTCACAGCCAAGAGAAGACTAAGGGCAAATGGGACCAAACACAGTGTGTGCAGTAGGACAGTCTGTCAACAGGAAAGTGCGCCCCAGGCCAAACAGGTATCCGTGTAAAGGGAAGTGGACGGGATGCGTCCACAGTAAATAACAACGTAGCAATGTTAACTCAGTAATTGGGACAAAGAATCATAGTGGCGTCCTATGTCAATGCAGCGATGTATCCAGCAAAAAACACGGCACCGCAGCGTGCAGGGCCCCCAGCAAACCAGCTGTAGCTGGGTCATAATCTCAGGAAAAACTCGTACTGCTGAAGGAGCACAACCCCAGAAAGGTCTGGCCAACTCCAAACCGTAGGTTACCGGAACACGAAGACGCCAAAGCGCTCCATCCGCGCCCTTCACCAGGAGCAAGAGGCAGCAAGGCACCTGCCCGGCCAGGCTCTGGCCCGGCCCAGCCCAGCCCAGCCCAGCCCAGCCCAGCCCAGCCCAGCTTAGCCCAGCCCAGCGGGGTCGAGGTCCCAGTAGCTACCTCCAAAAACGGCAAGAATCGCGTCTCTTTCTTGCAGTATCTTGGGAAACTGTGAAGCACCGCAAAGTACATCACCTTACCTGACTCTCAGTCTTACAGGGCAAGTTTTGTCTTTGCCCCAATCTTACAAATAAAGAACAGACTCCAGAAGGTAACGACAGAAAAGAGAGAGGCTGAGAGAGTGCAGGCACCCAGCACATGGACCCCGAAGCGCCCGGCAGTAGGTGTGATTCCACGTCACCGCGAGGGTCTCCGAGGCTCTGGGCACCATGGACCTGGCCGGGGCCCCGCACGGCAAGGTCTGGGGACCCTCTACAGGCACCCCAAAGCACCAAGTCGGTCCCATGGACGCCCCGCAAACCCGCAGGTCCTCCTCGCCAGGGTCTGCCAGCCCGCCCGCCACTTCATCTCAAGAGCTAGGGAAGGAACTCAAGAACACGGCTACCCTCGCGATGGGCTGCGCGTGCCACCGAGCTCAGCCCGCAGAGCAGCGCCACGAGCGTCCCGGGGCTGGCTGTCAGCGCGCTCCCTGCAGAACTTTCCGAAGCCGCTCTGGAAGCCGCGGCCAGCGACAGGGCGGCTAAGGTCACAGCGCGAGTGAGTCACAAGCCACCGCCCGCGCTGGGCTGTCCCGAACGCACGGCACCCACCGCCGCCCGGGCGAGGCATAGGGGCAGGGCCGTCCAAGGCCCCAACCCGGGGTGACCCCTGCCCCGGGCCGCGTTCGAGTGCAGCACTAACCCAGCGCCGGGGTCAGTGTCGCCCGTTTCGGTCCCTCCCAGGCCACCGGGCCCACGCCGTGGGCCGTGCGCTTACCCCTTCGGGCGGCGGCGCCGGGCGCCGGGAGGCGGACAGGCGGGCCCCGGCAGCTCCTCAGTAAGATGGACGCCATGTGCCCGGCTACGGCGGACGTGCCGGCCTCCTGCTGTCGCCTCCTCCTTCGCGGCAACTCGCTGGGTCGGAGGCGCCTCCGCCCACCCGCGCGGACGGTTGAGGGCGGCGGTTGGTTCCCTGAGGCGGGTGCTCAGCTCAAGGAGCCGGCACCGGCGGCGACCATAACCCGGCACATACGTCCGGCGGCACGGGGCGGGGCGACCGGGCGACACTCCCATTGGGCCCCTCCGGCTCCCGCCGCCGGCCAGGTGAGGGCGGTCCCGGCGTGCCTCGCGATTTACTACCGGTCCCGGCGTGCCCCGCGGCCGGCCCCACGCACAGCATTCTGGTCCGGGCTGCGCCTCCACCGCGCGGGCGTATGGCGCGTGCGCATAGGGCCCTTCCGTAGTCTGGCGCCGGGGAAGCAAGCGAATCTGGGGGAGCAAGCAAGTCTGGCCCCGGAGTCGGGACCCGCCGCGTCGCGCGCTGACTGCGCGGCGGAGAGCTAGGGGGCGCTGGGCGCTGCGCTGGTCTAAAGTTGGCTTCGGCCCCGCCCCCGGCCGGCACGCACAACCCGAAGTGACCCCCGGGTTTACAGCTGTAGCCAGCCTGATCCCGCACGCCGCGTCCTCCGCACGGCGTCGGGTTGCGGCCAGGCCTGCCCGTCCCCGTCCGAGATGGGGCTTCCAAAATTCGCACCAGGGCCTGCCACACCCTCAGACTACCCAGCTGAGCTCCAGCTTCCGTTCCAGAACCAGACTCTCCAGGAGTGACCTTGAAGCCCCACCCCCCCTTCCTTAAGATGAGGTTACACTCGCAGAGGTCCCAGGGGTGGGGGAAGGTCGACGAGGTCACGCAGGGAGAGCAGGCTGGGCGGTGTGTGGGATCCCCCTGCCGCCCCGCACCCCAATCCAGCCGCACCGGACCCTTCGGGACTCGGCACCCGGCTTCCCACCTCCCAGCCTTTGCTCCTCTTGGACCCTGTGCCTGGAATGGCTTTTCCGCCTTTCCCGTCCTGTCCATCTGTTTGCCTTGTTCACCCGATATCCTCACAAGGCACCGCACGGGGAGGGTCTTGCAGTTCACACTCTGCACGTCTGTCCTCGGGTGCACCGGTGCGGAGCTCTAGTCCCAGCAGACTCCCTACTCTTCAAAAGCTGGTAAACGGCACGTCTTTGCAAGAGGCTTCCCCGCCTCTCAATATCACCGTCTGAAAGAAGTAGCCTGCCTGACCCAGAGCTGTAAGGCACTGGCCCAGGTGTCTGCATCCCAGTAGGGAGAAGGTGGTGCGAGTTAGTGCAGGCCCTTTGAAAAGTGACACCAAATGCCTATGTTGGTACAGGACATTGAGTATTACAGACAGCAAATCGAGTGAATCTAACCACACGTGCCAGAAATCAAGGCCTCCACTGCCAACAAACCATGAAACCAGGCCTCTTTCCTATGGATGCCCACACCCTGGAGGCAAGTGGGAGATAAGGAAGGACAGTCCTGTTCCTGCACACAAGTCCCGGCCTGAAACAGGGTGGACAGACAGGCAGTCAGGGTTACACAGGACTAACATTTTAATGCCCCAAGTGTCGGAGGATGCTTGCAGTAGCATCAGCCATGGCGACAGAGTGCCTCATGGCTCAAAGCCATGGAGGGGCGGGGGTGAGGCCCACCAAAGGGGCAGGTGAGAATCAGAGCTGGTCCCTGGTGTGGCTGAGGGGCCCCACCTGGCCCAAGATAGGGCCAAGCAGGCGGCCGTGACAGATGAACCAACAGAACTGTCTGTGTGCAGGACTTCGGAAGATGTTGGTTGGGGAGGGGAAGGAAAGCCCTCTCCTGCTCTGAGTGCCGGATGCTCCAGGTGTGAAGAAAGGTAACAACACTGCTCACTTGCCCTTCGGATGACTTACCCAGGGCCCAGCTCCGTCAGGTTGAAGGGGGAATACAAAAGCAAGGTCTCCACGGAGGGGTAGGGTGCACTGTGGCGGTAGCTTCTGGGTGCCAGCTAGCTGTGAGTTCTCTGCAGCCGGGCAGGTTGGAGTTCTAGAGAAACCCCTTTTTCAACAATAACTTTATGGGTTTCTTTAATTATCTAAAGAACATGTGCTTGCAGTAGCCTTTTCACGTTCATCAGAGGATAAACGAGGCGTCCCACCACGTGCAATGGGTAACCTGCTGCCACACGTCAGCCGACTTCCTGCCCTGCATCTCTTCATGCCACAGTCAAAGTGCACGGAATCATTGCACATCCAGTTTGTTTTATTTTTTAATTATTAATTTATTTTTAGATAGAGGGTAAGGAAGAGAGAGAGAGAGGAAACATCAATGTGTGGTTGCCTCACGCGCGCCCCCCAGAGGGGACCTGACCCTGCAACCCAGGCATGTGCCCTGCCTGGGAATCGAACCAGCGATTCTTGGGTTTGCAGGCCAGCACTCAATCCACTGAGCCACACCAGCCAGGAGTTTGTTTTGATTCTGTGGGCTCTTTTTGTTTTTTCTCTTCTTTCTGAGGGGCTTCCTCATCCTCTCCCCTGTTCTCCCCATAAATTGTGCATGACCTTGCACAGTAGCCTGCATCTACACAAGTGACAAGAGTTGAGAGAAACAATGGGATGGATGTCCTGGCAGCAAGAACGCCCAGTTGGGGAGGTTAAAGATTCAGGCTAGAGACCGGGGTAGAGAATCATCCAGGGGTTGGGGTAGGAGTCTGGTTAGGGGCCAGGAGGCCAGAGGAGGGCTTGGAGCTGTACATCAGCCATGCTCAGTGCACAGCAGGCGGAGTTGGATTTGACCAGGTTGGGGTTCTGCCCGAACGTATGGTTAAAGAAGGGAGGAACAGTGAGGTCGAGGTGTGTGCAAGAACGTGACTGTGAGGCTTGAGTGGGAAATTTAAACTGGGGAAGAGAGGGGGTGGAGTGAGGGACAGTGGCAGTTTTACCTGGGGGGCCTGATGGGGGTTTGGAGTCAGCTACCAGAGCGAGCAAGCCAGCAAGAGAGGGATGCTTGAAGCTAGAACTGTGACTTCGGGGGACAGGCCTTTAAAGCGAAGGTGGCCCCTTGAGCCTTCTGCTTTCCTCTGCCACCAAGCACCACCAGCGACAGAATAGAAAGGAGTCCAGGCTGCCAACCTTGGCCTGTTTTACATGACTGAGAAAACACCTTTCTCAGGTTCTGTTCTTTGAAGAGGTTTCTGTATATAAACCTGAACTTAGCCCTGGCTTGTGTGACTCAGAGGATTGAGTGCCAGTCTGTGTGTGAACCAACCGGCCAATTTGAATTCCCAGTCAGGGCACATGCCTGGGTTGTGCTCCAGGTCCCCAGTAGGGGGCGTGTGAGAGCCAACCACACACTGAAGTTTCCCTCTTTCTCCCTTCCCCTCTCTAAAAATAAATAAATAAAATGTTTAAAAAAAAATAAGATCACCTGAACTTAGCACAATGGATTCGAGGACAGACCCCGAGGTTGCTGGGTCAGTGTGATTGCAAATATATATTTTTATAAACCTTCAAAGTGAACAATTTTTATTTTGAATTAAATTCATATTTTCATTCTACTTATCAGCATCACAGTGAAGTGAGGCAGCCAAGTCCTCAGTGTAGCCGGAAGCCATCTCCATCATGCCCCCTAGCGGACAGCAGCACCTCTGTCCAACCCAGGCAGGAAGCCGCCGGCTCTCACGAGCGCCCTCGTCCCCCCTCCCCCCACACTGCCCCTTTGAGAGGTAACCTCTACCCCGGTTTTGACTGCTGAAAATTCACTCTGCCTGTTTTTCATGTTATATAAATGCAGTCAAATAACATACGCCTTTTTTTGTCTGCCTGCTTTCACTTACCATTACGTCTATCAAATTCACCAGCGTTGTGGGCAACCTGAGTTTCCCCCGCTGCTGTGCAGTATCCCAGTATAGGAATAGCCAGAGCTTGTTTATGGATAACATTGCTGTGAACATTGTTGCACATGGCGTTTGCCGCACAAAGGTGTGTCTTTGACAGGAGTAGAGGTGCTGGCCGGGTGAGTAGACGTGCTGGCCGGGGTGCGCTGAAGCTCAGCTAACGCTACTGGCGAATGGTTCCCCTGGGTGGGTGCAGCATCCCACTGAGCCCTCCGCCAGAAGACCAAGCGGCTGCCCCGAATCCCCGCCAGTCCTTGCTATCCCCGCCAGTCCACTTTTTTTTAAAGTATTTTATTTATTTATCTTTAGAGGGGAAGGGAAGGAGAGAGGGAGAGAAACATCAATGTATGGTTGCCTTTTGTGTGTCCCCTGCTGGGAACTGGCCTGCAGGGAACTGGTCTGCAACCCAGGGCATGTGCCCTGACTGGGAATCGAACCTCGATTGTCTGATTCGTTGTCTGGTTCGCAGGCCCGCGCTCAATCCACTGAACTACACCAGCCAGGGCTCCCACTCTGGAAGATTTGAGGCTTGTGGTGGTTCATTCTGCATTCCTTTCATGCCTACCAATTTTGAAAGTTTTTCATAAGTCCCTGACCATTTGTTTCTCCTCTTTTTCGAAGTGGCTTTGGAAAGCTAGTTTTTTGTCCATTTCTCCAATGGGTCGCCTGCCTTTTTCTGATTGATTTGTAAGAGTTCTTTGTGTATTCTGGACATAGGTCCTTAGATGTATGTATTGCAGCATTTTCTCCCCTTTAGTGGATTATCTTTTCAGCTTTAATTATGTCTTATGATGAATAGAGGTTCTTGAACGTCATGATTTAATCTTTCTTGGTGAGTGCTTTTTGTGATTGAAGAAATCTTTGCTACCCCAAGGCCACGAAGACATCTTGTTATGTCTTATTCTAGAAACGTAGTTGTTCTATCTTTCACGTTCAGGCTTATGATCATTTGGAACTGACATTTGTTTGTTTCATATATTTCGAGGCAGGCATCCAAGATGACTTTCCCCTGATGGGAGCAAAATAGGCCCAGGGAATTTATTGAAAAGACCACCTTCCTTCCTATCCAGCAGGCAGCATAGTAGCCCCCCACAGATGTCCATGTCCCATCCTAATTCTGGCACTTATGAATATGTTATTTTACGTGGAAAAAGGGATTTTGAAGAGATGATCATATGAAGCATTTTGAGATTATCCAGCTGGATCGGAGTAATCAAGCACCCTTAGAAATAGAGGAGAGAGGTGTGGTGGCAGAGATGCGGTCTGTGGGAGACTGGAACAGACATGGCTGGCTCTGAGGTGGGAGAAGGGGCCCTGAGCCAAGGAATGCAAGCTGCAGTTAGAAGGTACGAAGAGGAACCTGGTCCTAGAACCTCCAGAAAGGAATGTAGCCCTGGT